TTTGTGGTACACGGGCCGCTCACTGTTGTGGCCTCTCCCGTTGCGGAGCACAGGCTCCAGACGCTCAGGCTCAGCGGCCATGGCTCATGGGCCCAGCCACTCCGTGGCATGTGGGATCTTCCCGGACCGGGGCACGAACCCATGTCCCCTGCATCGGCAGGTGGACTCTCAACCACTGCGCCACCAGGGAAGCCCCAATTTTTTTTTTTTAAATTGTACTTTCAGGAATGTCCCCTTGAGTTACCCTGTTTAGGATTTGTTTTGGTCCTGTGCTTTGGATTTCTTCTTCAGGAGCTCCTATAATCCATATGTTGGACTTTCTTTGCCTATCTTCAATATTTGATACTTTCTCTTGAATATTTACCTCTATTTCATTTTGTTTAAAAATATCCTCAGGATTCCCTGGTGGTGCAGTGGTTGAGAATCCACCTGCCAATGCAGGGGACACAGGTTCAAGCCCTGACCTGGGAAGATCTCACATGCTGCGGAGCAACTAAGCCCAGGCGCCACAACTGCTGAGCCTGTGCTCTACAGCCTGTGAGCCACAACTACTGAGCCCACATGCTACAACCACTGAAGCCTGCATACCTAGGGCCCATGCTCTACAACGAGAGGCCACCGCAATGAGAAGCCCATGCACTGCAAAGAAGAGTAGTAGCCCCTGCTCACTGCAACTAGAGAAAGCCCGCGCACAGCAATGAAGACCCAATGCAGCCAAAAATAAATAAATAAAATAATTTTTTTTAAATCCTCACTTTCATCCTCTATTTCCTTTATGGCATTATTTTTTGTGTTTATTCACGTTTGTGTTTCTTCTAGTTTAGTTTACAGTTCTGAAATTTTTAATTTTTATTTCTTCCCTAATTTCTGTCACATTTCTGAGTTTATACAGTACTAATATATGCTGTCCGTTCACATCTTAAATCATTTTTAAAATTTCATCTAGCTTGTTCTGAAACAGTAGGTTAACAGTTTTGATCTATTTTGTGAGCATGTTATACTAGTGTGCTTTTATTTTCTGTAGAGATATTATCCCACGTCTTAATCTCTCTCTCCCTCTCTCTCTCATAATAAATTTATATGGGAGTTGACCATAGTATTTTTCTGTTGCTTATATTTTTATAAAATTATTTTCCTAAATATTTAGAGACATACTTGAAAATAGCTTTTCTAACTTCACAAAGCTTTCTTTTTTCTGTTTTTTCTATAATGTTAAAAAATATGGCAACTTGCTTTCTGATGTTTTCTGACTGCTAAATTTTCTCTTTTATCTGGACCCTCTCTTTCCTTCATCTTTACTGTCCCCTCTTTTTTCTTTTTTTCCATAATGATGTTAATAAGCTGATATAAGAAACTGGTAAGATTATGATCACATGAACCACTATGTGCATTACCTCATTTCACAGTAACCCTATAAGGTAGGTATTATTATTATCCCCATTATACAGATGAGAACTGGGGCACAGAGTGTTTAAGTAATTTTCCCAAAGGCACAAATTAGTAATTAGCGAAGCCAAGAATTAAAATCTGACGATCCAACTTCAATTTGCAAGTTACCTAATGACTTCCACCATACTTTCCCACTCGGACTTGAGAGACCCTCATCTCTCAAATCCTACCACGCTATCATTTTAAGAGCAAACCTAAGCCTGCTAAATTCAAACACTAAGCTGATACTGCCATAGGACCTACAGCTTTTTATATATTCACACAAGATTCCTCCTCTGTACCTACCCAATCTTTCCAAATAATGCCATTACTTACCTCCCACTCAATAGCTAATTACTTTTAATCAATCCCCATTGCAGGAAGGAGTGTGGGGAAAACACAACCAAAATAAAAATCCCACTGAGGAAGCATGGGGTGAGATAGCATCTAAAACTGGGCTTCTCAAACTTCGCTGCATGTTATAATTACCTTTGGAGTTAAAAAATAACTGGAGCCTATGTCTGACCCCTCAGAGAATCTGATTATGGTCTAGGGTATGGGATTTTAAAAAGGTCCCCAGTCTAGTGGATAGCATGGCGATTATACTTAGTAGTATTCATGTTGTATTTGAAATTTGCTAAGACCTTAAGCGTTCTCACCATACACACACAAAAGTAACTATGTGAAGTGATGGATGTGGTAATTAACTTGATTGTGGTCATCATTTCACAATATATATTAAATCATCATGTTGGACAACTTGAAAAAAATCACACACAACCTAAATATGTACTTTTTTTTTTTTTTGGTCAATTGATGCATTTTTTTCCTCACACCACCAAGCAATTCCAATTCTAAGTGGACACACACTGGCTGTCCTACAAATTAACTCAATTCTGACACTATCTACCTGGAGATGGCACCAGATCTTAGAAATTAAAGGCTGTTTCACAGGACTGCCCCACTTCAGACACCAATCACAAGTCCAGGTTGTCACCTATGCTAATGACCCAATGACTATAAACTGGAAGGTCCCACAACCCACTTCTCCGGTTCAATTAATTTGCTAGAGTGGCTCACAGAATTCAGAGAAACACTTACTTACGTTTATCAGTTTATTATAAAGGATATTAATATAAAGGATACAGATGAACAGCCAGATGAAGAGGTACATAGACTGAGAAACAGAAGCGTCCCAAGCACAGGAATTTCTGTCCTCATTAGAACTGGAGTGTGTCCCCTCCCAGGACGTGATGCATTCACCAACACAGAAGCTCATCAAATCCCTTTGTTCAATAGTTTTTTTAGAGCTTAATCTCCAGCCCCCAAACCTTCCCCTTCCTTGAGGTCAGTGGGTAGGGCTGAAAGTTTTAACTGTCTAATCACTTGGTCTCTCTGATGACCAGCCCCTTTCTGAGGCTGTGTGTGGGCTCCGCTCCAAAGTCACCTCAATAGCATTAACTCAGGTGTGCTCAAAAAGGCTCCTTATGAGTAACAAAAGACACTCCTATCACTTCTGTAGGTGAAGACTCGTCCAATATTTGGGTTCAAATCATTTCACCTTTCCCATAGCTCACAAAAACTCTTCTATTTAACCCCATCAACCATCAACTAAGATAAAAAGCTAAATTCTTACATCTTGATATCCATCATCAATGAGAACCAGTTTGTTCTAGTCACTGATATTGCCCTTACCTTTATTAAATTATGTGGTAGCAAGTCAGACCAAATGCCTCTCCCTAAGAATATATAAGCCTTGCCTCTGTTCCTATTTGTCACATAATATAAAGGGTGGAGAAGATGTGCAAACAAATTTCTAATTACTTTTCTCTCACTGAAGCACAAATAATCTCTAGACTCTAGTCTCTAACCATTTGGCATAAGTCCTGTCAGACCCCATCAGGGAAAAAACTTCCTAAAGTCAGCCATTTAGTCACATTGGCAACTTAATGTTTTAAGAAAGGAAAAGTATGCATCCACTTAGGAAAACAGTTTAAAATAAGTCAAGGAAATTGATTCCCTCTCTTGGAAAAAAGTCCATAAACTAGCTGCAACCACTTACAAGGACCCATTATTTTTTCAGCATTATAGGTAAACATGTTTGACTCTCCCCACTGGTAGGCCCATCTGCTCTGCATCCAAGCCACAATCTTTAAGTTTTCACAGTTTTCTGGGACTCATTTTTGTGGGTATCCTCCTATCCTGGATCCATAAAGTTTCCCGTGTGATGCAAATGAGACACATTTCCTTTTAAATAACTCCTTTTCCTGTGCTTCATCCCAGAGGGCCAGTTCTTTCCCAACTTTCCTGACACTATTGACATTATTAATGTCAATATAGTTGTCTCTCCCATTATCAGTTCTTACTTTGATAAAGAAGTGATACTAATATAGCTGGTAAATCTGCCTTATCATATTCACTAGCTCCCTATCTTTAACTTCACTGACCAAATGTCTACTGCTTCCTGTCCTAGAACAAGTTCTTCTAGACCAGTAAAACTTCGTGGACATCAAAGTCCCCATTCTCCAAGTCATAACTTCTAGCTGTAATCACATTGCATTTGCAGAGATCTCTTAAATGACATGGCAAATTATCATGGGACTTAGCCTTAAGCTGGTAAGGTTCTCATCAAGTGGTCATATTTTCTCTCTCCTACCTGGTTCAAACTGGCACGAGCTATTTTCACTAGAATGCTTTTCTGCTGACTTACATCTTTAAACCAGATCAGATCACTTTTATTTCTGGGAGAGCCACAGGATCACTAAAATCAATCCCTGGATGTTACGTGGTCTCAGATTACTTATTTTGAGGGGACAGGTCTCTTTAGTCATTCATTCAATAAACTGAGTGACTATCAGGTACCAGGCAAAAGGGACATAAAAATACACACCTGGTTCCTAACCATAAAAAGCTCATGTCTCTCATTATGCACACACATAACGAGTAACTTCCATATAATCATTAACTCCAGTCCATTTGGCTGCAGGCCACCCTTCTTTTTAGTTACTGCAGTGGGTGTGAGGCATTTAAACCTCCTTTACCTTCTGTGGCCCAAAGATGGGGTTTCAAGTCTCAGAACATTTTTTTTGCTACACAGTCTAGCCAACAAGAGGCATCAGTGAGATCCAAATACCATTTCTGATCTAGCTTTGTGTTTTAGGATACACAATACAGAGATGGCCAGGAGACTCAGAGTCTTTGGACACTAAGTCACCACCTGACTTACCGTGTTTCTTGCATCTTGAGGAGAGGAATACAGAAACAAAGCACTCTGCTTTGAATGCTCTGGTCAGGCCAGGATGAAAGCAGGGGATAGGGACAGGCACCTGAGGATCGATCCATGCTCTAACCTGTCGGAAGCCCATAAAGTTTTCTCTGAACATCATATAGAAAGAGCAGTTATCTTTATTTTTAACCAATTAGATGACATTCTTTGGGGCTGTAATGAGTATATTACTCTTTTCATCCCATTCCAATTGCTTCTGCTCTTTTTAGCTAATGCCTATCTAATTACTGAATAGTATTACTTTTATTCAGCTATTTAGATGATAAAGCATATATATAGACCAAAGAACAATATAGATCACTTAATATTTATTACGTTTAAATGATTTTTTTCATATTACAGAATTCAACTCCAAAATAAGGTAATTAATGCCTGGTAAGCTGTTATTCACTTGCATTTTTCCCTCCTAAATTTTGAAAACAAACACCTTAAAAGACATGTGAATCGGTTCAGTGCACTTTTAGTGACTCAAAATCATGAGACAAAGACCACATTTATCCATTAAAAAAAAAAAACTCGATATTTTAAAATATTCATGACATGAACTAAAATAAAGGAACAAATAAAGTACTGCATTTTCACCACAATTGTTTTGGTAGATGACAGAATATTGTCTTGAATAATGCTCCTCTGCAGAGCGTGTGTGGTGCTTGGCATGCTTGGCACATTAGCACTTGGTAACTGCTCGGCCTCCATCTGCAGTTTTTTCAGAAGGACCCTTACTCGGGGGCCCACATTCCCCTGAGACTAATCTGCCTGACTCCACAGGGACTATTCTGGTGGGAGCCTGATCCTTTTTGCTCCACCTGCTCTTAAGGCTTTCCTGTCTTCCCTTCATTCTCCCCAGATTCACACTTGTTGCCACCTGCATTCTCAGCAAAGATGCCCAGCACAGAACTCACACAGCTGAGTCTCCCCCACAATAGCTCTCACTCCAGATGTTGCCCCTTTACTTGACTAAATTATGACTAGAAGGTAAAGAGACAATCTGCCCACAAAAATTGTTCTTCCTACTTCATAATCACATCTCCTACAATGCAAAAAAGGTTGGTGATGCCTGATCTAGAACTTAAAACATTAGTTTAGGTAGAATATACACTGCTCTAAAGTTCTTTAAAATCTACTCTTTCCTATTACTGTTTGTTTTTAAAAACCATAAAAATATAAAAATGTAAACATTCTACTAAACATTTCAGTAGAAACTGTTACCCTACTTTCTATGTAGTGGGTTTGGAAAGAACAAAAGTGACACCATGTTCCCCTTGGCAGACCCCAAATCATGCTCCCAGCCCTAACCTACCATTACACATTTCCCACCATTAGACAGAGCTGTAGGCCAAGCACGTCTCTCATGAAAACTGCTACTGTCACCCATGAACACCCTGTAACAAAGCAGCACAGTAGCTCACTGTAATCTCTCCCAGCTAGCTGTCCATCTGCTTGCTGGGCACCTTACATCCACTGCTCCACACCCAGCCTTGGTGACCATGCAAACACATGGAAGCAGGGACACAAAAACCAGAAGCACCTCTTCTGCCACACTCTACGTTCCTTCGCAAAGTGAGAGGGCACTTCCTATCTCTTTGTCAGAGTATCAGCAGAACCAGGTAGGGTGGGAGGGTGCTGCTGACAGACGCAGGAATAAAGAGAAGGCTGATGAGTCCAGCCACCAGTGTCCACCACTCCCCCATCATTCACATTCCCTTCATCATGACACTGCTGGGAGCTTGAGGATGAATCTGATCTTCTATTCAAAAGAAGAAACCTAGTCAGGAAATTCTAGCCACTTCTCATTGCTCTTGCAGCAAGGTTTCACTGTATGTTTTTCAAAAGCATGAAATTAACGTGTTTTTTTTTTTTTATCAGTAACTTATAAATTAATTTTTTTTAATGCTGCTTTTGTTTTTAGGGAGAGATATGCTAAACACAAATGACTAATGAACTCTATCAGCTTTGGGGAATCTCCTCAGCATCTTTATCAGCTATGATTAATAATGAGATAACCTAAAACCACAATTCCACACCCGGGTGATAAACAGTACCAATTAACCAGAGTATTAACTGCAATGACTTAAAAGTATATTACCTGAATAGTTTCCATGGTGAAGTATCAGAAAAAGTGAAATAATAAATATTTTCCACAGCACCATAAGGTTTTATAAAATACTATTTCAGTTTTTAACATTAATGTATAATCTCAAGATTCTGGTCTATCATTCATATTAGGCTTAACCTCTTTTCTGACAAAGGCCATATATATAGGCACAACTATAACATAAAAATCATATATTTTACTGAAGAACCTGTATGGTATACTTAGACAGTCACTCTTCTGGTTGTATCCATTGAGTACTAGTGGATTCAAAGCCCAGGAAAGATGGTTTTGCCATTTATACTCTAATCACAAATTTTAATTTGCCAAAAAAAAAAAACCCAAGTGGAAACTAAGATATTTGCCATAACTGAAAAGTCCTTTTATAGCTGTTTGCTTTAGTACTGTGTGCTCTTACAGATTTTGTTTCTATACAATATTTTGTAAATGGCTCTGAGTTTGTAAAACAAGAATACAGTGATTCATTTTGAATTTTAAAAATAAACGCAAGTGGAAAACAACTTTTATAGCCTAACTGTCTGTAATTATGTGTAACAAGTTACCTATAATAAAAACTGTACCGGGCTTCCCTGGTGGCGCAGTGGTTGCGAGTCCGCCTGCCGATGCAGGGGACACAGGTTCGTGCCCCGGTCTGGGAGGATCCCACATGCCGCGGAGCGGCTGGGCCCGTGAGCCATGGCCGCTGAGCCTGCGTGTCTGGAGCCTGTGCTCCGCAACGGGAGAGGCCACAACGGTGAGAGGCCCGCGTACCACAAAAAAAAAAAAAAAAACTGTACCACAGATTGGATCCCCCCAATATCCAACATGCTCATGGATCTCCTGAACTATTAGTGTGTGCTGTGTCAACTTAGTTCAATACTGATCTAAGCAAAACATTATTGAAAGTAATGACTTGCCTACCAAATAGCATACATTGCATTCCAAAGCCAAATTTGAATTCGATTTGGGATTATTAAGTCCATGTCTCCCCTCCACTAATGCAGAGAACTGAGACTTGGCTTTACTATACATCAGGCAGCACTAGAGTAAATCTGCTATAAAATTATTTATAACAAAATAAATATTTTCAGTCCCTCTACACTAAGTGATATATAAATCATTAGCAGTTTATAACATTAGCTTAGGTCACTGTTTTAGGACCCAAACATACTGTACAATCCTGAGTAAAAGGTTAGGGGTACAGTTTCTTGGGGATCCTTCTTGATCAGGAATCATAAAGAAAACACATAAAACCACACTTATAATAATCCCCATTTTCATTAGAAGTACCATGAGTCCTTTTTACTTTGGTAAATTAGTTTATCTATGTAAACAATTTATTTTGAGGGAGTAAAATATAAGCAGAGCTTCTGCTAGGATCCTTCCATCACCTTTTGACACTGATATAGTAAATAATCAGGAAGAGTAGAGCAGGAGGATCTGAACCACAGGGCTAACATGTCACCATGAACTCGGAAATGCAGCAAGCAGGGGATGGATGGGAGCAGCTGACAGGCCAACAGCCCTTCATTGCCTACAGCAAAACAAAGTGAGAAATTCTTTAATACAAAAAGACTTCAACAGACATTTCTACAAAGAAGATATACAAATGGTCAATAAGCACATGAAAAGATATTCAACATCACTGATCATTAAGGAAATGCAAATCAAAACTAAAGTGAGATACTAGTTCATATCTATTAAGATAGTGATTATCAAAATAAATAAATAAATAAATGTTGGTGAGGATGTGAAGTAACTGCAACCCCTGTGCATTGCTGAATGTAAACAGTGCAGTTGCTGTGGAAAACAACACGACAGTTTCTCCAAAAATTAAATATAGAATTACCATATGACTCAGCAATTCTACTTCTGGGTATCTAACCAAAAGAACTGAAAGCAGGGACTCAAACACAGATTTATTTGTACACCCATGTTCAAAGCAGCGTTATTCACAATAGCCAAAAGGTGGAAGCAACCCCAGTGTCCGTCAAAAGATTAATGGATAAACAAATGTGGTATATTCGTAAAATGGAACAATATTCAGGCTTAAAAAGGAAGGAAATTTTGACACATAATATAGATGAACCTTGAAGACATTATGATAAGTGAAATAAGCCAGTCACAAAAGGACAAATATTGTATGATTCTACTTAGATGAGGTAACTAGAGTAGTCAAATTCATAGAGACAGAAAATAGAATGGTGGTTGCGAAAGGCTGGAGAGTGAGGGGCAATGGGGAGTTAGTGTTTAATGGGTACAGTTTTAGTTAGGAAAGAGGAAAAAGTTCTGGAGATGATGGTGGCAATGGCTGCACAACATGAATGTATTTAATGCCACTAATCTGTACATTTAAAAATGGTTAAAATGGTAAATTTCGTTATGTATATTTTACCACACAAAAAAATTCTTTAATAAAGTCTGAACAACACACTTATCTGAAAGATACTCATAACATGAAATACAGCTCTAAGAAATCTGACACTTCTAAGAGTTGATTTGCTATCTGATTGTAAGAAAGCCCCTATAAACACAAGATTGCCTTTTTAGAACACTACAAACCTATAATGTCAACAACATGAAGTCTTAGTTCCTGTTGCAGGGCCTTTAAGGTAGAAGGCAGAGCAGCTTGTGATTCTGACATCTTCACATTTTGTTTCACATCATTTGCGAAGGATAACCAGAGTTTACCAAAGTCTTCAGTCGAGATTTTTAATGGCCTGAAAATAATTTTTAAAATTAGATTTATGTCCATTAAGAATGAAACGATTCTAAACAGACAAATACATTTCAAATGACTCATGGGAATAAAAAAAATCACTGTAAATGTAAATCCCACAAAATCTATGTTTTTTAAACCAAATATGATTAGAATACTTACCATTATCCTCCAACCTAAAGAAAATGCTGAAAGCAAATGTTATTAAAGAACAAATGTCTTTTCAATAAATCACCCAGTTCTCTCTTTTTCTGAGTATTAGTCATTACAGTAAAATTTCACCAAGTAATTTCATGAATCATTCAAATATAAAACTTTTCTTTCATGTATACTTTAGATTTGGGGATGAGATACTCTATCAAAGTCATGTACAAGAGTAAGAATACAAAGAGTTAGCACCTTAAGCAAACTGGACCAACAGAAAGGATTTTAATAAATGTATTTTTTAAATGGTTCAGGTAATTGAAGATCAAATAGTTAACCATGGGGTATCTCTGAGAGGAATTACAGGCAATTTTTATATTCTACTTATATTTTTCTATAGCATTTAAATCTTTATAACTATGTATTGAATTTATAATTAGGAAAAATATTTTTTTAAGATACAGAGGATTTTATTAATAAGCACAGAACGAACCGTCTGTGTCATATATGTTGTGCTTCTTCAGGTTACTAATGCTCACCATGGGACATACCTTCATAGTCACAGAATGTAAGTTTTTTGAAGGCTAGATTCTATCTTTTCAGCACCACAGGTATAAATAAATACTCTGACAGATTTATAAACATGTTCTTACTAAAAGACTTTAAAGAATGGGCAAAAATTATAGTAGTCTAACACAGGTAGATGTGTGAAGGTTAAAAAATTTTTTTACAGATATTCATTGGTATTCTGCATTATTGGTTCAGGCAGGCTTCATTTTTAAAAATGTTTGAATACAGTATAATATATTCATAATACTAAATAAGAGCAGAAGGGTTAAAAGGTTGTTTTCAATTATTTGGGTAACTGCACAATGCTAGTTAAATACTGTATGTCTAATAAAAGTTTAGTAACTTTGTTGAGCCATTTTCTTGCAGATCTCTAAAACTTTAATGAACAGACTTTACGAAAGAATTAATCAAATAAATGAAACACAAATGAAAAAAACTTTAAAAGCTTTTTAAAAAGTCAGGCAGAATCTTTGAAATTATTTCAGTTTAAACATTACTTTAATATTACTTTCTCCCGGAAGTTCTCCAAGATCACCAGCCAACTCGAACCTATATCAGGTGCCACACCATAATGGCCCATCATATCATTTACTTCCTGTTCACAGCACAATTCACAATTATACATGCATTTATGTGATTGTTCGATGTCTCCTCCCTAGACTGAACACTCCCTAAACGCAGGGGTAGGTGTAGTTTTGAGTTGTTACACTCCCTAGCACCTAGTACAGTGCTCTGTCCAGAGAAGAGGCCTAATAAATATTTGCTGAATGAAGGAATAACTTGAATTAATATTCTAAAAAATATTTACCTAATGAAATCTAATAGTGATAAGTTTACTGAAAATTCGAGCTGAACAGAATGAGTATCCATCACTTGATAATTTATAAAACCAGAAAGATTCCCTTCTGTAAAAGGTTTTTCCATCTGCACACTGTATTGAAAGTTTTTGGTGCTTTCTGCTTCTATTACAGGCAAGCAGCATCCAGGTTGCTCAGTGATCTGTAAATAAAAGTAATGTAAGTATTGAAGAAGGGATCAATACAGGCTATCATATGAATAACTATTTTCTATTTAATTGAAGTGGTACAAAAGCATACAATTGTGAGATGTTAATAACAAGCCACACCATGAAGATAAATGACAACTTCACTTGAGAAAAATTCACTAGCACAGACAATTAAGAAATAATAATACATAGATCAGAATTATGTAACAAATGGTATTACAATGAAAATGTCTGTATGGTTTAACAACAACAAAAAACAGATTAAATTCTAGTCATGTGTCTCTCAATACTAGCTAGTACCAGTTTTTTTTTAAAATTAATTTATTTATTTTTGGCTGCATCAGATCTTAGCTGTGGCATGCAGGATCTTCATTGAGGTATGTGGGATCGTTGAGGCATGCGGGATCTTTCACTGCGGCACGCAGGCTCTTCGCTGTGGTGCATGGGCTTCTCTCTAGCTGTGGTGCACAGGCTCCAGGGCGTGCGGGCTCTATAGTTTGCTGCACGCGGGCTCTTGTTGAGTCACATGAGCTCAGTAGTTGTGGTGCGCAGGTTTAGTTGCCCTGGGGCATGTGGGATCTTAGTTCCTGGACCAGGGATCGAACCTGTGTCCCTACATTGGAAGGTGGATTCTTTACCACTTGACCACCAGGGAAGTCCCTAGCACCAAATTTTTAAAGCTAGAAGAATGCAAAAAAAAAAATCTTTCCCTCTCATTCTCCACCCTTACTCAAGCTCTGGTGGTAAAGCTCAGACAACTGAATTGGGTTTTGTGTTTTTAAGTTCCACAGGTGATTCTAATGCACATCTACAGTCAGGAACTTCTGCCCAGGTCAGGCCCAGGTAGTATCCCATTCAATATATTCTAGCTCATAGAATAAATTGGGTCAGTTTTCTCAGTCTTCCCCAATACATCTTTATTATGTTTCCTTGTTGAATAAATTTTTCAACATTGAATAAATTTTGAATAAATTTTTGAATAATTTTTTAATAAATTTTTTGAATAAATTTTTCCTACTTAAAATAATAAAACAATCTGTCACACCTTTCACTGTTTTTGCTAAAGAGGAAAGAAGGATGTGGGAGAAATTTACAAGCCATCAGATGAGTCAACAGCAGAAACACTAAGTAATGTTTCTTACACTAAGAAACATTAAGTAATTCATTGTCTTACCTTGAAATTTTCTGCAGGAGCAATTTCTAAGTTAGCACTTTTCAGTTCTGAAGCACTCTTATTAAAAACTGACCAGACCATCAACAAACACTCATCTTTCCAAATTTTGTAAGAAGACACTGATATGGTTTCATTATTACAGACCTCCATAAGATCTGAATGCATGTGTTCAGTAGTTTCTTCCAACAAAGAAGCAGCTAAAGATATTTCATTGGCAACTGAGGCTGCAGTGGACTGAGGAGGGTGAAAAACTTCCATGTTGTTATCAGCAAACAAAGAGGGTGTAGACAGCCTGCAATTTGAGATTTTCTCAACCAAGGGCAGTTCTGTGAGTGACTCAGAATCTAAAAGTTCTGAATTAAGAGAAAATTTCTTTACTTCTTTGTCTCCTCTATCCTGCAAATGATCCAAATAATAGTCTTCTTCATAAGTCACATTTGATGAAGAACTAAAGGAAGAACAGGTCATATTTTGAGCAGTGGTTGTTTGCCCGCTTTTGGTTTCCTTGACTTTTGATTTCCTTCTGAACTTGTGAGAAAGGGTATCTGCTTTTCCTAGCTGCAAAGATAAAACATAATAATAGAAAAAGAAACCATTCTACTAAGTCACGAGTTTTAAACTTTTTTTTTATAATTTCAAATGAGCAATGTACTAACTTGCTAAGGTTCTACCTATAAAGCATAGATTAACAAAAATTCAGAGATGAATAAAATGTTAAGCCCTAAAATTCTGACAGCTACATAACTTTGAACTAGTAAGCTAAATCTATTTCTCACTAGAAACACATAAAATCAGAAAAAGAAATAACGTCAAAAAGTCAATCATGAACAATTCTAAAAACTTCTTAGACTTAAGAAAACTAGAGTACAGAACTGCACAAATTAAAAACAGTGAGAAAGCTAGCCATTTTTTGAGTTTCCAGAGTTGTCCTGTAGAAGCTAAGATACCCTCAAATACAGGGATGGGTCAAACTTTGGTTCAGTAATCTATAATAATCCTGTTTTCATGACCTGTGAGTCAATAAACAGGGAAGAAAAACTGACTTCACCTCAAGAATCAGCTAGTGTGGCTTACTAGAACACACGGCAGGAAAGAATTCTAAAAGTAACTAGGGATGTTTGGTACAGACTCAGGAGATGGGAACAGCAAACTTGTGATTCTTGCACTAAGCCTCCCAAGGAAATGTCTGCGAATCCATCTAAGAAGAGTGATGGCTCAAGTGCCCCCTTGCCTCACAAAGTTCTATGTAGAATCAGTGCAGCAGACTGGGTCTACTTTAAGTTCATCCTCCTGGAGGCTTTAACACTGAGTGGCCATCTTTCACACGATTCTAGTTAACCAGAATTCTAGCTCTCTTCCAAGTCTCAGCAGCTAAGTTTGTCTCTTACCTTTCAATTCAGAAGCCAAAAAACAAGAACTAACATTATATTAACACAAAAATGAAAACAAGTTGGGGGACTTCCCTGGAGGTCCAGTGGTTAAGACTCCGCACTCCAGGTTTGATCCCTGGTTGGGGAACTAAGATCCCACATACCGCAACTAAGCCCATGTGCCACAACTACTGAGCCCACGTGCTCTAGAGCCTGTATAATGCAACTAGAGAGCCCGCACGCCACAACTAGAGAAGACCCATTGCAGCCAAAATTAATTAATTAATTAATTTTAAAAGTTGGGGGTTTCAGGGGGAGGAGGACTTCCATTTCCAGTAGCCATGGGACTCGAATTAGATGTACATTAGACTGCTCAATATTGTTCCTCAGGTCACTGATGCTCTGGGTTGTTTTTTGTTTTGTCTTTTCTTTCTCTCTCTGTTTGATTTTGGATAGTTTCTATTACTTTGTCTTCAAGTGTATGATCTTTACTTTTTAAAATATTTATTTATTTATTTATTTGGACGTGCTGCATCTTAGCTGTGGCACACGGGATCTTCGTTGCAGCATGTGGGATCTTTTAGTTGCAGCATGCAGGATCTTTAGTTGCGGCACACGGGATCTTTAGTTGTAGGATGTAGGATCTAGTTCCCTGACCAGGGATCAAACCCGGGCCCCCTGCATTGAGAGTGTGGAGTCTTAACCACTGGACCACCAGGGAAGTCCCCGATCTTTTCTTCTGCACTGTCTAATCTGCTGTTAGTTAGAATTAACACAAGCCAGAAGACACCAGACAGACATCTTTGTTAAATTACTTAAAGAAAAGAAACAGTCGGTTTCCTCAGAGCTGGAACTCCCAGCTCGGGGTCTCTTAACTCCACCGTCACGGAACTGCCCTGGAGCGCGAGGGGAGGGCGGCCTCACTGAGGCTACTGGCTCTGGAGGGGCCCCAGTGGCCGAAGCTGCAACAGTCGTGGGGACACCGGGCTGGCCAGGTGGATGAAAGACTCTTGGTGCTGCAGCCAGGAGTCAGTGCTGTGCCTCTGAGGTGCGAGAGCCAACTTCAGGACACTGATCCACAAGAGACCTCCCAGCTCCACGTAATATCAAATGGCAAAATCTCCCAGAGATCTCCATCTCAACACCAACACCCAGCTTCACTCAACGACCAGCAAGCTACAGTGCTGGACACCCTATGCCAAACAACTAGCAAGACAGGAACACAACCCCACCCATTAGCAGAGAGGCTGCCTAAAATCATAATAAGGCCACAGACACCCCAAAACACACCACCAGACATGGACCTGGCCACCAGAAAGACAAGATCCAGCCTCATCCACCAGAACACAGGCACTAGTCCCCTCCATCAGGAAGCGTACACAACCCACTGAACCAACTTTAAGCCACTGGGGACAGACACCAAAAACAACAGGAACTACGAACCTGCAGCCTGCAAAAAGGAGACCCCAAACACAATAAGGTAAGCAAAAGGAGAAGACAGAAAAACACACAGCAGATGAAGGAACAAGGTAAAAACCCACCAGACCTAACAAATGAAGAGGAAATAAGCAGTCTACCTGAAAAAGAATTCAGAATAATGATAGTAAAGATGATCCAAAATCTTGTAAATAGAAGAGAGAAAATGCAAGAAACATTTAACAAGGACCTAGAAGAACTAAAGAGGAAACAAGCAACAATGAACAACACAATAAATGAAATTAAAAATACTCTATAAGGGATCAATAGCAGAATAACTGAGGCAGAAGAACGGATAAGTGACCTGGAAGATAAAATAGTGGAAATAACTAATGCAGAGCAGAATAAAGAAAAAAGAATGAAAAGAACTGAGGACAGTCTCAGAGACCTCTGGGACAACATTAAACGCACCAACATTCAAATTATAGGGGTCGCAGAAGAAGAAGAGAAAAAGAAAGGGACTGAGAAAATATTTGAAGAGATTATAGCTGAAAACTTCCCTAATATGGGAAAGGAAATAGTTAATCAAGTCCAGGAAGCACAGAGAGTCCCATACAGGAGAAATCCAAGGACAAACATGCCAAGACACATATTAATCAAACTGTCAAAAATTAAATACAAAGAAAACATATTAAAAGCAGCAAGGGAAAAACAACAAATAACACACAAGGGAATCCCCATAAGGTTAACAGCTGATATTTCAGCAGAAACTCTCCAAGCCAGAAGGGACTGGCAGGACATATTTAAAGTGATGAAGGAGAAAAACCTACAACCAAGATTACTCTACCCAGCAAGGATCTCATTCAGATTTGATGGAGAAATTAAAACCTTTACAGACAAGCAAAAGCTGAGAGAGTTCAGCACCACCAAACCAGCTTTACAACAAATGCTAAAGGAACTTCTCTAGGCAAGAAACACAAGAAAAAGAAAAGACCTACAATAACAAACCCAATACAATTAAGAAAATGGGAATAGGAACATACATATTGATAATTACCTTAAATGTAAATGGACTAAAAGCTCCCACCAAAAGACACAAACTGGCTGAATGGATACAAAACCAAGACCCATATATATGCTGTCCACAAGAGACCCACTTCACACCTAGGGACACATACAGACTGAAAGTGAGGGGATGGAAAAAGATATTCCATGCAAATGGAAATCAAAAGAAAGCTGGATCAGCAACTCTCATATCAGACAAAATAGACTTTAAAGCAAAGACTATTACAAGAGAAAAAGAAGGACACTACATAATGATCAAGGGATCAATCCAAGAAGAAGAAATAACAATTGTAAATATTTATGCACCCAACATAGGAGCACCTTAATACATAAGGCAAATACTAACAGCCTATAAAGGGGAAATCGACAGTTACACATTCATAGTAGGGTACTTTAACACCCCACTTTCACCAAAGGACAGATCATCCAAAATGAAAATAAATAAGGAAACACAAGCTTTAAACGATACATTAGACAAAGTGGACTTAATTGATATTTATAGGACATTCCATCCAAAATCAACAGAATACACATTTTTCTCAAGTGCTCATGGAACATTCTCCAGGATAGATCATATCCTGGATCACAAATCAAGCCTTGGTAAATTTAAGAAAATTGAAATTGTATCAGGTATCTTTTCTGACCACGATGCTATGAGACTAGATATCAATTACAGGAAAAGATCTGTAAAAATTACAAACACATGGAGGCTAAACAATACACTACTTAATAACAAAGTGATCACTGAAGAAATCAAGGAGGGAATCAAAAAATACCTAGAAACAAATGACAATGGAGACATGACGACCCAAAACCTACGGGATGCAGCAAAAGCAGTTCTAAGAGGGAAGTTTATAGCAATACAATCCTAACTTAAGAAACAGGAAACATCTCGAATAAACAACCTAACCTTGCACCTAAAGCAATCAGAGAAAGAAGAACAAAAAAAACCCAAAGTTAGCAGAAGGAAGGAAATCATAATGATCAGATCAAAAATAAATGAAAAAGAAATGAAGGAAACAATAGCAAAGATCAATAAAACTAAAAGCTGGTTCTTTGAGAAGATAAACAAAATTGATAAACCATTAGGCAGACTCATCAAGAAAAAAAGGAAGAAGACTCAAATCAATAGAATTAGAAATGAAAAAGGAGAAGTAACAACTGACACTGCAGAAATACAAAAGATCATGAGAGATTACTACAAGCAACTCTATGCCAATAAAATGGACAACCTGGAAGAAATGGACAAATTCTTAGAAAAGCACAACCTGCCGAGACTGAATCACGAAGAAATAGAAAATACGAACAGACCAATCACAAGTAATGAAATTGAAACTGTGAGTAAAAATCTTCCAACAAACAAAAGCCCAGGACCAGATGGCTTCACAGGCGAATTCTATCAAATATTTAGAGAAGAGCTAACAGCTATCCTTCTCAAAGTCTTCCAAAATATAGCAGAGGGAGGAACACTCCCAAACTCATTCTACGAGGTCACCATCACCCTGATTCCAAAACCAGACAAAGATGTCACAAAGAAAGAAAACTACAGGCCAATATCACTGATGAACATAGATGCCAAAATGCTCAACAAAACAACAGCAAACAGAATCCAACAGCACATTAAAAGGATCATACACCATGATCAAGTGGGGTTTATTTCAGGAAAGCCAGGATTCTTCAATATACACAAATCAATCAATGTGATACACCATATTAACAAATTGAAGGAGAAAAACCATATGATCATCTCAATAGTTGCAGAGAAAGCTTTCAACAAAATTCAACACCCATTTATAATAAAAACCCTGCAGAAAGTAGGCATAGAGGGAAGTTTCCTCCACATAGTAAAGGCCATATATGACAAACCCACAGCCAACATCATCCTCAATGGTGAAAAACTGAAAAAATTCCCACTAAGATCAGGAACAAGACAAGGTTGCCCACTCTCACCACTCTTATTCAACATAGTTTTGGAAGTTTTAGCCACAGCAATCAGAGAAGAAAAGGAAATAAAAGGAATCCAAATCAGAAAAGAAAATATAAAGCTGTCACTGTATGCAGATGACATGATACTATAATAGAGAATCCTGAAGATGCTACCAGAAAACTACTAGAAATAATCAATGAATTTGTAGCAGTAAAGTAGCAGGATACAAAATTAATGCACAGAAATCTCTTGCATTCCTATACACTAATGATGAAAAATCTGAAAGTGAAATTAAGAAAACACTCCCATTTACCATTGCAACAAAAAGAATAAAATATCTAGGAATAAACCTACCTAAGGAGACTAAAGACCTGTATGCAGAAAATTATAAGACACTGATGAAAGAAATTAAAGATGATACAAATAGATGGAGAGATATATCATGTTCTTGGATTAGAAGAATCAACATTGTGAAAATGACTATACTACCCAAAGCAATCTACAGATTCAATGCAATCCTTATCAAACTACCACTGGCATTTTTCACAGAACTAGAACAAAAAATTTCACAGTTTGTATGGAAACACAAAAGACCCTGAATAGCCAAAGCAATCTTGAGAACGAAAAACGGAGCTGGAGGAATCAGGCTCCCTGACTTCAGACTATACTACAAAGCTACAGTAATCAAGACAGTATGGTACTGGCACAAAAACAGAAATACAGATCATGGAACAGGATAGAAAGCCCAGAGATAAACCCACACACACATGGTAACCTTATCTTTGATAAAGGAGGCAGGAATGTACAATGGAGAAAAGACAGCCTCTTCAATAAGTGATGCTGGGAAAACTGGACAGGTACATGTAATAGTATGAGATTAGAACACTCCCTAACACCATACACAAAATAAGCTCAAAATGGATTAAAGACCTAAATGTAAGGCCAGAAACTATCAAACTCTCAGAGGAAAACATAGGCAGAACACTCTATGACATAAATCACAGCAAGATCCTTTCTGACCCACCTCCTACAGAAATGGAAATAAAAACAAAAATAAACAAATGGGACCTAATGAAACTTCAAAGCTTTTGCACAGCAAAGGAAACCATAAAAAAGACCAAAAGACAACCCTCAGAATGGGAGAAAATATTTGCAAATGAAGCAACTGACAAAGGATTAATCTCCAAAATTTATAAGCAGCTCATGCAGCTCAATAACAAAAAAACCAACAACCCAATCCAAAAATGGGCAAAGACCTAAATAGACATTTCTCCAAAGAAGATATACAGATTGCCAACAAACACATGAAAGAATGCTCAACATCATTAATCATTAGAGAAATGCAAATCAAAACTACAATGAGATATCATCTCACACCAGTCAAAATGGCCAACATCAAAAAATCTAGAAACAATAAATGCTGGAGAGGGTGTGGAGAAAAGGGAACCCTCTTGCATTGCTGGTGGGAATGTGAATTGGTACAGCCACTATGAAGAACAGTTTGGAGGTTCCTTAAAAAAACTACAAATAGAACTACCAGATGACCAAGCAATCCCGCTACTGGGCATATACCCTGAGAAAACCATAATTCAAAAAGAGTCATGTACCAAAATGTTCACTGCAGCTCTATTTACAATAGCCAGGAGATGGAAGCAACCTAAGTGTCCATCATCGGACGAATGGATAAAGAAGATGTGGCACATATATACAATGGAATATTACTTAGCCATAAAAAGAAACGAAATTGAGTTATCTGTAGTGAGGTGGATGGACCTAGAGTCTGTCATACAGAGTGAAGTAAGTCAGAAAGAGAAAGACAAATACCATATGCTAACACATATATATGGAATCTAAGAAAAAAAAATGTCACGAAGAACCTAGGGGTAAGACGGGAATACAGACACAGACCCTACTAGAGGATGGACTTGAGGATATGGGGAGGGGGATGGGTAAGCTGTGACAAAGTGAGAGAGTGGCATGGTCATATATACAGTACCAAACATAAAACAGACAGCTAGTGGAAAGCAGCCGCATAGCACAGGGAGATCAGCTCGGTGCTTTGTGACAACCTAGATGGGTGGGATAGGGAGGGTGGGAGACGCAAAAGGGAAGAGATATGGGAACATATATATATGTATAACTGATTCACTTTGTTATAAAGCAGAAACTAACACACCATTGTAAAGCAATTATACTCCAATAAAGATGTAAAAAAAAAAAAAAAAGAAACAGTCAACCTCAGGTTCACAGCCCCGAGAAAATACTTTTTTAAATGATGGTGAAATAAAAGGCAAAGATGGGAAGAAAAAAAAAAAAACCTTAACCCGTACAGTGAACTATGTAAAAAAATTAACTGAAAATGGACCACAGACCTAAAAGCTAGTTAAAATGAAATACTCAATACAGCCTAGATCTATGTAACTGAGAACTTTAAACACTAGGAAAGTCAGAAGAGAATAGGATTGCTAGAGAAAAGCAGCCATGCAGAAGGACTTATAATACAGATGAAGCATATCCAGTGCCAATCCTGTCTGCTTTGCCCGAGTGAGAGAGGAAAAGTTGGGGATGAGGGGTAAGAGAATACATGCTAATTTAATGTAATTATTTGCTTCCCCTCCTTTCTGCAAGGTGCCATCTGAGTTACAGCTCCTCACAGAATTCATGGCCCCATAAAACAGGGAAATAACCTCTTTTTTTTTTTTTTCAACTATTCTAGTGATAGCTGAGGAGAAAAGAAAAATGTAAAGGGGTAACCCAAAAAGGATTTAACCTAACTTAAATAGAAAAACATCCTAATTACATTTCTGATTTCAAGCCCACCACAAAAAAGTCTGGTAATTAATTTATCACCCTGAATGTTGTCCAGAGAAATACTCTAAGTGAAAGCTATGCACTTCGTTGAGAAGGCAGGAATCCTTCAACACCAGCAATGAGGTTCACAAATCAGGGCTCCATAAGCCTGGATGCACTCTGAACTTGATGCACTCTGACCACTGAGAACTTGCCCTATCAGTGCCAGATCATTCTCTGGTACCCTCAGCACGGCCTGCTGGAACAGCTTAAAGACCCAAAATCAGTCACTCTGCTGCTGAACTACAAATGCTGACTGAAACAGCATTAAGATACTTATTAATACTTTTAGGCTGAATTTGCTTTTTCTTAGAAATGAATATCAAGTGAAAAAAGTGGGGTCTGGAAAAGAAAGAGATACAGGCAAAGAGTGTAGCCTAGAGGCTGGCCTAGTGTTGACAGAGATGAAGGGAAATTCCACCAAGGGAAATGGAGGATGAAAGAATTGTGATGATGTAAAACTGAAGAAAATATAGCTCTAATCACAGTTTTGCACTAGGTGGGATCATCTGCCCACCAAACAGGAAATTGCATGTGGAATTCTCAGATACTCAAAAATAGCACTTGTCCTTCACTCCAGTTTTATATTTTTTTACTAAGAGAATAATATATCAGCATAAAAAGTTTTGAAAATCATCATAATGTATGAATATAATTTTAATTTTTGTATAATTCCTTTCAACCTCAATATACTTTTACCTTAACAGTTTTAAGCAAGGTATAAGTAAAACTTCATATTCTGCTTTTTTTGCTTAATAAGTATTAATTTTACAATGCAATATTTATCATTTTTAATGACGAAGTAATAATCAGAGCTAATATAATTTATGTACCAATTCTCCTGTTAGGATATCAAAATTGATTCCTCTTTTTCACTATTAAAAATACCATTTTAAGAAGTACTTTTTCCATAGACATATCAATATTGTTGAACTATTACTATTGGTAATATTTCCATCAAGTCCCCTTTCCACTGAGACCTGTCCTCTCTACCAATGGGGGTGAGAATACACATGGTCATATTTTTAACTTAATTTGGACCCGGACTCTTGCCCCAGCTGACTGGACTAAAGAGAATACCTGACTGAAGCTGAGCCAATTAGATTTTCTCTTTCAGGAATATAAAAGGTATGTCACTGGTGGCTCTGGAGCTGGGGAAGCCATTCCTACCATGTGTATAGATAACAGTCACGAGCTTTTGTAGGGCCAGTTTTTTTGTTCAAAACAGGGAACACAGATTCTCAAAGGAATATAACTGACTACTTACCAAATTGATTGTACTTTCTGATCCTAGCCCAACAAATAATGATGATGCCAGCAGCTGCTTTTCTTTCTCTTCTTTAGATTGGGTAAGGGCTTGAGATTGATCGTTTTTTGTTATAATTTGATCTACATTCTCCATTATTATATTCTCTTGAGGGACTGGCAGAGCTTCTGTTTCATCACCAGTTTTGCTTTCCTTCTTGGGAAGATAGCCCTCTTTCCCCCACAATTTCTTTATACCTTCCAGCTTCAAGCTATTTGTCCTAAGGAGATTGATAATGAAATCAAGTCAATTTAAATAATTGCTAAATAGTTACCTTCTTGAGGCGTTTTTAAAAACACATCATTGTCATGACGTTTTAGAAATAGCTTTCATATTATATTCTATGTGCCAGAAATAAAACCTAGATCTTTAGATTTTATTTTAGTTATAGCCAACCTCCCCTAACTCTCCAGCCAAAATATTTAAGGCAACAGAACTCTAGACTTAGTTAAAAATTTCAGATTATTTAATTTTCATTTAATTCCTTGAATAAGATGTCCAAAAATAGAACTACTATAAATCAGTTCCTTTCACCTATTGACTTTTCAAAAATACCTTTAATTCTGATGGGTTAAAGATCAGAAACGATATGTTTCATACCTATAATCACTCAGTGAAGGAATTAACACTACATAAATTCACTACATAAAATCCTGTTGAGAGCAAAAAAAAAAAAAAATCATTCAAATCTACTCCTATGTGTAAATTTACCTTTAATCCACAAGGTTTTCTTAATGTGAGCACAAGCTACACTTTCAACTATTATAAATGTACGTTTATAAAAATGAATGGTTTGATCTGTAGAAGAAAACAGTAGTATTTTTGGAAAAAGCATGAAGGTTAGGAGTTTTTTTATACCTGAGATGAAAAAGAATAAAGTTGTGATTAGAATTAGGTCTCCCCTACTGTTGTCCCAAAAGCTACAGCTGTGAATCATAAGTGCAGGCTGAAACAACCAAAGACTGCCTCTATTGTTTTCATATAAGAACCATGTGTCCTTGGCACTGGCTCATTTAAGTATCCCTCTCATGATCCAAAACTGAATTTTTAAAATTTGTACTACAAGATAGGCAGATCGTGAAATGAATCTAAAAGAAGGATTCAGAAATATCTGTACTATTATTCCATTTTAATTTGTTGGAATCATGGTCAGTTTGATTTTCTGTAGTATGCCAGAAACAAAAACAGATCATTATACTTCATACTGAGTGAAGAACTAATGCTATTAAGTACCAACTGGCTAAAAGAAAGTCTAATGTTAATAAAGAACGCCCTATAGGGAATTAGTCCATTCCTACTCAATGAATTTTACTGTTGAATGTTCCTTTACAAATATCTTCATTCATCCCTTTCTTTCAGGTACCAAAAGAGTTTTCTAAAAAGTTAAAAAAAAAGTTATCTATCAAACCTCTTAGAAGAAAACTGGTTGATCTTGTGTGAGCAGACAAAAAAGTCATCAGGGTAACCCCTAAAATGACCCCAGCACTTCTAGGATGCTCAACAGCAACAACTCAAAAGGATTCATGAATGCCCACAGCAGGATTACAGTGTTTTTTGTAACCCTGTTTACCAAAACATATCCTTTAATTATTGGGGGGGGGGAATAAAAAAGAGCAACGCCCCAAATGATTCAAATATTAGTTTAGCTAAAAAAAGGTAGGTGTGGTAGACCCTGGGATGTTCCATCCAGATCCCCCTTCAATGAAGGACTTTGTTGGCGCAGCTGTTAGGAGCATAGCACCCTTAGGGATTTGCCTCAGTTGCAGAGTCACCTCAGTTGCAGATCATGCCCTTTTCCAGGGCAGCCCATATCCAATAATTGATGAACAGAAGTATAGAGTACTGGCCACCCATTTTAGCCTAACTCAGGACAGCTCAGATGGGCCATTCTAGCTTCAGAGCTCCCTATGGGGTCAGCAGACACTGTTGTTGGCACTGCATTGCTTAACTTCTTCCTCTGCCCAAACCCTCTTCTTTTCCTTTCCTTCCATAGTTGTTGATGCCAAGGGCACTCCTTAATATTCTGCATGCTAAATTCCATCTTGGAATGCACTTCCCAGGGAATTCAACCCACAATAACAGGCAAAAATGAGAAGGGGAAGAAAAAGGAGCCTGAATACATGCCTATTATCAACATAAATTTTCACTGTCATGCATTACATACAGAAAGTCTAAAAAGGAGGTAGATAAATAAGAGAGCAGCATAAAACCATTTCATACACAAAATATGCCTCTTTATGATATGAAACATAACATAAAAAATTTTTAAACATAAGTCATCTTTGCCTGGATTTTGACAACAATAATATTATAATTCATGGTTTTATACGGTATACCTTTGTGTTGTTTTTAATCAGATCATTCAAACACAGATGTAGATTATGGCCAAGCAATCTTCAAAAGATTAGGAATGTACTTTGAGCTCTAGAAATTCCCATTTGCGGTAGGGTGCTGCTCCGTAATAGGGCTTAAGGTAAGAAATGCTAAATTGGGCTTGCCCCACTTTATTCTCAGCTTGCCAGAGACTGCAGAAGAATGATCATCTCCTCTCTAAAGCTGATACACCTCACCAATTACCACTTAGGTTCCTAATCTGAAATAATGTGTGAGCTGTGGTCCTCTTTGGAAAGAAATTTTAAATTCATCCCTCATGTTGCACTTCATGGTAATCCAGCATATGTATAATTCCTGAGCAGCTTTGCCAAATGTCATTTGTCTGAGGGTAGTACATGTACACATACAGGATTTACAAGGCCCTGTCAAGTCCCCCAGATCCTATTTCAATACTAAAAAAGCAGATGCCATCATCTGTTGTGCAGGCAAAAGGGACTACGTTTCCTCCCTGGGTTTGGAGGGTTTCTGTCTCTCCTTCCCTTGCCCCTCTATTCCCTGTTTGAGGCACTTAATTGCTATCACCACCACCATCACATGCTCACAAACCGTATCTGCTCCCCATGCTTATAATACTGAAATTAAATGTCTGGGAAAGAAAAGGGTGTCAACAGAGCAGGAAAAAAACGCTAAGAAAGAGATTTTGAACTTATGCCATTTCAATCAGCATATCATTCTACATTCCTCATAATCTATGTGTCATTTTTCTGATAAATACTTCTTATAACCATATCACTGGAAGACTGACAAATGCAAAGACTAACATAAAATAAGGTTACTGAGTCTGTTCAAATGTCATCTTTCAAAGTTGTCACCTTTGAGATTTTATCATTTATTCTAACAATGTTGCCATTTCTCAAAACATTTTTGAACTCTTAGAAGAAGCTCCTTCACAAACAAGAAAGCCATTTTCATTACTTTATGTCACATTGGTATACTGACCAAAGTTATCCAGCTTGACTACTAATTTTATGTAGTAAATTCAGCTTTTGGATAATAACAATAATGATAGCAATGACAATTATTAATTTTAGTAGCTACCATTTATCAATCATTTATTATGTACTGGGTTGTATGAGGCAGTTTACATACATTATCTCATTTTATTAACTTAATCATATTTCTAGTAATTTATTCATATTTCCAAAATCAAAATTTACCTAAAAAGGATGAAGATTTGACTCCATGTTAAGACATTTAGAAAAATGTATCACCAATTTTCAAGGTGGCTGGAAAGAAGCTCTGAAAGTATTCTGAACAAAGTACACAGCTTTCTCAAGTGAAGTCCTTCATCTTTATGTTCATCTATATATTCGTCAATCTTCCAATGAGATGGTTATAAGAAGTATATTATGAGGAATGCAGAATGATATGAACAGTCACCTCACTGGGTATATGAGTTCTGATACATTTCTTTAAAAATGTGTGTGTGTGTGTGTGTATGCATGATGTGTAGTAATAACACACACATCATTACTATGTGTAAAGCTTGTATACATTCTATACTGTCTTGGAAGTAAGCAAGCTCTCTTAAAGTACAAGGACAGGCTATACACTATCAATACCTCGAGAGCAACAAATAGAAACAGCTGAAACAACAACCCATGCAGAATTTAGCTTTCAGGAATCCTTCAACATGTAAAGACATTTAAACACTCCCATGTTCTCAATTTTAAGAAAGGAACTTACTCTTTTAGCCCGGTCTCTGTACTATTCCCAGATATATCTGAACCAAGAGAAATGCCAGCAGGAGACTGTCGTCCAGAGAAGCCAGATGAAGAAAAGGAGAGTCCATATGGTTCAAAACTGAGAACTAGAATTTTAAAACAACAGAGGTTCATATTTAAAACAAAGCAAAAATTATGAAAAAAAAGCAAAACATAAAATAATAGAAAACTAGAATCCAGTGACAATTTTTAAACTGGAAGGGACTTTGGAAATGATCTAATCAAATATTTATAGCAAAAATAATAAAGCAGCTATGATTTATTAAATCTCTACTACAGTCTTCATACAATTAGTTAATCAAAGACAGTCTTTCATTTTTCCTTTTACCACCCTTAAAAGCTAAAAAAGAATTCAATTAGGAAAGACAACTGATAAACCAGGTCTACTGAAAAGTTGCTGCTCTCATGCAAAAATGTTTAATGAACTATGAATGAAGACCTGACCATGTTTCTGTTTAACAAAATGCTCTTAGGCACATTCCTGTACCAACTGGACTGATGGAGCCCTCAATGTGAAATCCCCCTTACTGACAAAGAACAAGGTTTACCCAGGTTCAGATTCCTTTGCGTCTGTATACCCAAATGAATTCAATCAGAGCCATAAAATTCATATTGTTATTGTGGTAGAGCAGATACCGATATCCACTTTCCTCTTCTTTCTAAGCTACAGAACCTTCGATTCTTAGCTAGGTACATGGCCACCCAGAAAAGAGATGACATTTCCAGACTCCTGTGCCATGTGACTGAATTCTGACCAATGAAATTATATACACATTTTGTGTACAACTTCTGGGAGGAATCCTCCTGGAAGAAAAAACTTCCTCTCTCCCTTCCTCTTTTATGTTCATAAAAAACCATCATCAATACTAGGCTGCCTACTTCTGGATCTCTTTAATGGAAAAGAGCAATAACCCTCCGCCTTGTATAAAGCCCTGCTTTCTCTGTTTTCTAATATGCTATTTAGCTAAACTTAATCCTAACTGGCGCATTATCTCTTTGGACTGTCTGGATTATAATACAAAGGACCTTCTTAAATCATAAAAAGTATCTTAGAAAATAAAATGTGAACTTCTGTAATTATTATCCTCATCTTACAAATGAGGAATCTGTGGCAAAGAGCTTGCCAAAAAGTCACCGAAGAGTACAAAGACAAGAAATGAAAGAGGCAAATGAGAAATCAGATACTCTGGTTCCAGAACTGCACTCTCAACCATTATATTACACTGTCTCCTTCAAAGGAAACAGCACCTAATCCAAAGAGTACTAAATAAATTAGCTTGTGTGTTAGCTAAATGAATGATATGACTGTTCACTATAAAAAAATAATGGGCTAATTAATAAACAGGTGAAGGGTTCAGACTAGGTCAGCAGTTTCCAAGTGCTGATTTGATAACCAGGAACAAGCTGACTTCACAGAATCTCTCACGTATCTTTTTACACATACAACCAGGCTTTCAGAGATATACCTACAGAAGGTATAGGAGTAGGTCTCAAAAATCTGTATCATTTTTTAAAAACTCTCTATGTGATTCTGATTCTGAATCATGTTTGGAAACCAACTGTCTAAATCTAAGGTCCTTTTCAGATAGAATATCCTCTCATTTTAAGCTTTCCAATCATCTGGTTTAACCTTCTATCTCAAGGTTAGAAGGCCTCTTTTAAATAGCATCTGTGACAGTCAGTCACCCAGCCTCTACACTGAATGTTGAGAATTCTTTCATGTGTTTGTTGGCAATCTGTATATCTTCTTTGGAGAAATGTCTGTTTAGGTCTTCTGTCCATTTTTGGATTGGGTTGTTTGTTCTTTTGATATTGAGCTGCATGAGCTGCTTGTATCTTTTTGAGGTTAATCCTTTGTCAGTTGCTTCATTTCCAAATATTTTCTCCCATTCTGAGTGTTGTCTTTTCGTCTTGTTTATGGTTTCCTTTGCTGTGAAAAAGCTTTTAAGTTTCATTAGGTCCCATTTGTTTATTTTTGTTTTTATTTCCATTTCTCTAGGAGGTGGGTCAAAAAGGATCTTGCCTGTGATTTATGTCATAGAGTGTTCTGCCTATGTTTTCCTCTAAGAGTTTTATAGTGTCTGGCCTTACATTTAGGTCTTTAATCCACTTTGAGTTTATTTCTGTGTACGGTGTTAGGCAATGTTCTAATTTCATTCTTGTACATGTAGCTGTCCAGTTTTCCCAGCACCACTTATTGAAGAGGCTGTCTTTTCTCCATTGTATATTCTTGCCTCCTTTGTCAAAAATAAGGTGACCATATGTATGTGGGTTTACCTCTGGGCTTTCTCTCCTGTTCCACTGATCTATATTTGTTTTTCTGCCAGTACCATACTGTCTTGATTACCATAGCTCTGTAGTATAGTCTGAAGTCCAGGAGCCTAATTCCTCCAGCTCCGTTTTTCTTTCTAAGGATTGCTTTGGCTATTTGGGGTCTTTTGTGTTTCCATACAAATTGTGAAATCTTTTGTTCTAGTTCTGTGAAAAATGCCAGTGGTAGTTTGATAGAGATTGCACTGAATCTGTAGATTGCTTTGGGTAGTATAGTCATTTTCACAATGTTGATTCTTCCAATCCAAGAACATGGTATATCTCTCCATCTATTTGTAACATCTTTAATTTCTTTCATCAGTGTCTTATAGTTTTCTGAACATAGGTCTTTTGTCTCCTTAGGTAGGTTCATTCCTAGTTATTTTATTCTTTTTGTTGCAATGGTGAATGGGAGTGTTTCCTTAATTTCACTTTCAGATTTTTCATCATTAGTGTATAGGAATGCAAGAGATTTCTGTGCATTAATTTTGTATCCTGCTACTTTACCAAATTCATTGATTAGCTCTAATAGTTTTCTGGTAGCATTTTTAGGATCCTCTATGTATAGGAGCATTTCACCTACAAACAGTGACAGCTTTACATCTTCTTTTCCAATTTGGGTTCCTTTTATTTCTTTTTCTTCTCTGATTGCTGTGGCTAAAACTTCCCAAACTATGTTGAATAAGAGTGGTGAGAGTGGGCAGCCTTATCTTGCTCCTGACCTTAGTGGAAATGGTTTCAGTTTTTCACCATTGAGGACGATGTTGGCTGTGGGGTTGTCATATATGGCCTTTATTATGTGGAGGTAAGTTCCCTCTATGCCTACTTTCTGGAGGATTTCTATCATAAATTGGTGTTGAATTTTGTCGAAAGCTTTTTCTGCATCTATTGTGATGATCATATGGTTTTTATTCTTCAGTTTGTTAATATGTTTTATCACATTGATTGATTTGCATATATTGAAGAATCTTTGCATTCCTGGGATATACCCCACTTGACCATGGTGTATGATGCTTTTAATGTGCTGTTGGATTCTGTTTTCCAGTATTTTGTTGAGGATTTTGCATCTATGTTCATCAGTGATATTGGCCTGTAGTTTTCTTTCTTTGTGACATCTTTGTCTGCCTTTGGTATCAGGGTGATGGTGGCCTTGTAGAATGAGTTTGGGAGTGTTCCTTCCTCTGCTATATTTTGGCAGAGTCTGAGAAGGATAGGTGTTAGCTCTTCTCTAAACATTTTGATAGAATTCGCCTGTGAAGCCATCTGGTCCTGGGCTTTTGTTTGTTGGAAGATTTTTAATCACAGTTTCAATTTCAGTGCTTGTGATTAGTCTGTTTATATTTTCTATTTCTTCCTGGTTCAGTCTCAGAAGGTTGTGCTTTTCTAAGAATTTGTCCATTTCTTCCAGGTTGTCCATTTTATTGGCATAGAGTTGCTTGTAGTAATCTCTCATGATCCTTTGTATTTCTGCAGTGTCAGTTGTTACTTCTTCTTTTTCATTTCTAATTCTATTGATTTGAGTCTTCTCCCTTTTTTTCTTGATGAGTCTGGCTAATGCTTTATCAATTTTGTTTATCTTCTCAAAAAACCAGCTTTTAGTTTTATTGATCTTTGCTATTGTTTCCTTCATTTCTTTTTCATTTATTTCTGATCTGATCTTTATGATTTCTTCCCTTCTGCTCACTTTGGGGTTTTGTTTGTTCTTCTTTCTCTAATTGCTTTAGGTGTAAGGTTAGATTGTTTATTTGAGATGTTTCTTGTTTCTTGAGGTAAGATTGCATTTCTATAAACTTCCCTCTTAAAACTGTTTTGCTGCATCCCATAGGTTTTGGGTGTTCGTGTTTTTATTGTCATTTGTTTCTAGGTATTTTGTGATTTCCTCTTTGATTTCTTCAGTGATCTCTTGGTTATTTAGTAGTGTATTGTTTAGCCTTCACATATTTGTATTTTTTACAGATTTTTTTTTCCTGTAATTGGTATCACCTCATAGCATTGTGGTTGGAAAAGATACTTGATATGATTTCAATTTTCTTAAATTTACCAAGGCTTAAATTGTGACCCAAGATATGATCTATCCTGGAGAATGTTCCATGAGCACTTGAGAAGAAAGTATATTCTGTTGTTTTTGGATGGAATGTCTTATAAATACCAATTAAGTCCATCTTGCTTAATGTATCATTTCAAGCTTGTGTTTCCTTATTTATTTTCATTTTGGATGATCTATCCATTGGTGAAAGTGGGGTGTTAAAGTTCCCTACTATGATTGTGTTACTGTCGATTTCCCCTTTTATGGCTCTTAGCATTTGCCTATGCATTGAGGTGCTCCTATGTTGGGTGCATAAATATTTACAATTGTTATATCTTCTTCTTGGGTTGATTCCTGATCATTATGTAGTGTCCTTCTCTGTCTCTTGTAATAGTCTTTATTTTAGTGTCTATTTTGTCTGATATGAGAATTGCTACTCCAGCTTTCTTTTGATTTCCATTTGCATGAAATATCTTTTTCCATCCCCTCACTTTCAGTCTGTATGTGCCCCTAGGTCTGAAGTGGGTCTCTTGTAGACAGCATATATACAGGTCTTGTTTCTATATCCATTCAGCCAGTCTATGTCTTTTCGTGGGAGCATTTAATCCATTTACCTTTAAGGCAGTTATCGATATGTATGTTCCTATTACCATTTTCTTAATTGTTTTGGGTTTGTTATTGTAGGTCTTTTCCTTCTCTTGTGTTTCCTGCCTACAGAAGTTCCTTTAGCATTTGTTGTAAAGCTGGTTTGGTGGTGCTGAATTCTCTTAGCTTCTGCTTGTCTATAAAGGTTTTAATTTCTCTGTCAAAACTGAATGAGATCCTTGCTAGGTAGAGTTATCTTGGTTGTAGGTTTTTCTCCTTCATCACTTTAAATATGTCCTGCCAGTCCCTTCTGGCTTGCAGAGTTTCTGCTGAAAGACCAGCTGTCAACCTTATGGGGATTCCATTGTATGTTATTTGTTATTTTTCCCTTGCTGCTTTTAATAGTTTGTATTTAATTTTTGATAGTTTGAATATGTGCCTTGGCATGTTTGTCCTTGGATTTATCCTGTATGGGACTCTCTGCGCTTCCTGGGCTTGACTATTTCCTTTCCCATATTAGGGAAGTTTTCAACTATAATCTCTTCAAATATTTTCTCAGTCCCTTTCTTTTTCTCTTCTTCTTCTGGGACCCCTATAATTCAAATGTTGGTGTGTTTTATGTTGTCCCAGAGGTCTCTGAGACTGTCCTCATTTCTTTTCATTCTTTTTTCTTTATTCTGCTCTATTTTATCTTCCAGGTCACTTCTCCATTATTCTGCCTCAGTTATTCTGCTATTGATCCCTTCTAGGGTATTTTTAATTTCATTTATTATGTTGTTCATCTTGTTTGCTCTTTAGTTCTTCTAGGTCCTTGTTAAACGTTTCTTGCATTTTCTCCATTCTATTTCCAAGATTTTGGATCATATTTACTATCATTATTTTGAATTCTTTTCAGGTAGACTGCCTATTTCCTCTTCATTTGTTTGGTCTGGTGGGTTTTTACCTTGCTCCTTCATCTGCTATGTGTTTCTTTCTTCTCATTTTGCTTAACTTACTGTGTTTGGGGTCTCCTTTTCACAGGCTGCAAGTTCGTAGTTCCCGTTGTTATTGATGTCTGTCCCCAGTGGCTAAGGTTGATTCAGTGGGTTGTGTAGGCTTCCTGTTGGAGGGGACTGGTGCCTATGTTGTGGTGGACGAGGGTGGATATTGTCTTTCTGGTGGGCAGGACCGCATTCAGTGGTGTGTTTTGGGATGTGTTTGCCCTTATTATGATTTTAGGGAGCATCTCTGCTAATGGGTGGGGTTGTGTTCCTGTCCTGCTAGTTGTTTGGCATAGGGTGTCCAGCACTACAGCTTGCTTGTCGTTGAGTGGAGCTGGGTCTTAGCATTGAGGTGGAGATCTCTGGGAGAGCTTTCACCGTTTGATATTACATGGAGCCAGGAGGTCTCTGATGGACCAATGTCCTGAACTCAGCTCTCCTACCTCAGAGGCACAGGCCTGATACCCGGCTGGAGCATCAAGACCCTATCAGCCACACGGCTCAGAAGAAAAGGGAGAAAAAGAGAAAGAAATAAATAACAATAATAAAATAAAGTTATTAAAATAAAAACTAAAAAAAAATTATTAAAAATTTTTTAAAAATTAAAAAAAAGACAGAAAGAAAGAAGAGAGCAACCAAGCCAAAAAAACAAATACACCAATGATAACAAGCACTAAAAACTATACTTAAAAAAAAGGACAGACAGAACCCTAGGACAAACGGTAAAAGCAAAGCTATACAGACAAAATCACACAAAGAAGCATACACATACACACTCACAAAAAGAGAAAAAGGAAAAAAATATATATATCTTTTGGGAAGTCTGAGGACTTCTGCCAGCATTCAGTAGGTGTTCTGTAGGAGTTGTTCCACGTGTAGATGTATTTCTGATGTATTTGTGGGGAGGAAGGTGATCTCCAAGTCTTACTCCTCCTCCATCTTGAAGTTCTCTGCAGTTCTTTTATACCTTGATCATTTGGCTATACCTCTCTGACCATCCCCAGCTGTTATTAATTTTATTTTTTGAGAGACTAACAGTCTAAACTTGATGTGGTTTTCAAAAATCCACAGTTCTGTAGACAGGAGATTATCCTGCTACTTCCCCTTATTATCTCTGGTTTTATCTAACATTGGGGCTACAACATATTCAAATAACGTTTTAACAGAATAATCCACACTGATTCCTCAATGCTTTTCTTGGGTAGGAACTGGTAATAAAAGTTAGTTCCCCAGTATCCCACCTATGTTTGCTAATTCTCATTATCTTACAATACTTTCCTGAAGTTTATTGTTACGAACTTGGCATTTTTCTACCCGAGAGAGCTAAGTACTGTATCTTTCATAAAAGTGACATTTGACTACTACTCTGCAAATGATTTATAAAAATCTCAAACAAGATCAGTATCAGAACCGATTGCCAATTGAAGGATTCCAGAATTAACAACTTTTTAAGCAGAAAATACCTATTTTTCCCCCACTCTTTACTTTCTGTAATAACCACAATTATATGATCCATGATTTTATAACTTATTCTTCAAGTACATAGCATAAGCACTTGCTATGTCCTGTCTCGTAATTGATTTTCTTTTCCATGATATAAAAGACAGTTTAGGCTCATGAAATTTCTATTTTACTTTAGAGAACTTTTGAAAAATAGGTTTGGGAGGAGAGGGGAAGAGCCTAATTTGACAGTTTAACCCCATTTATAATGATGATTCCATGATCAAAAATGTACTTGGCAAATGAATATACTAGCTTGGGGAGTTTCAGGTCTATTATATTTGCATCAGCCATTTAACTTATTTTAAGAAAGAAGAAAGGCAGTGCCAGAAATTAGGCTCCTTGTCCTGCCCCCTCTTGCCTACCCTAGCCTTGAATTGCAGTAATAAGAGCAACTGATGGGGAATTCCCCAGTGGTCCAATGGTTAGGGCTCTGCGCTTTCACTGCAGGGGGCATGGGTTTGATCCCTGGTCAGGGAACTAAGATCCCACATGCCACACAGCACAGCTGAAAAAAAAAGAGCAACTGATGGCTCCCAGACATTTGAAAATAAGGAAATATGACAACTGGACCATGTCTCCCACTCTGGAACTCCAGATTTTCACTCCATGCCTTGGATGTCATAAGGCCTCTATATGCACTATAGTCAGAGGTTGGGCAACTCTAATTCAAAACTTTATTTCCCCTCACATATTCTATCAATATATGAGGAGTTAAACGGGAAGGAAACTGATTACCCTTTGAAAGAAAATTGTATTTTCTAGGCCTTTAGGTATCGTTGTGCTAAATAATGTCAAAAACTTTAAAAGAACAAATACTTCTGCAAAAAAAATAACATCAAGCCTATTATTAGTGTTTATACTTTTTGGTTTCATTGTAGGATGAACCATTTAGTTGTACTCATATGCCTAGCACAGAACCTAAAAAATAAGTACTCTACAAAATCATTAAATAACAAAGAGGAGAAAAAAAAAGACCTTTCAGCATTGAACTTTTCAGTATTAACATTCTGAATTCCTATACAAATAATATTCAATGGTCTCCCTTTATTCATACATATGTGTGTGTGTGTATATATATATATATATATATATATCCCATCCACCATCAAATATCTCAGTGATCTCCTCTTTACTAAAATAATGACAGAAGTCTTTCCCTGACAGCCTACATTTTTTAAATGTAAAGTTATTCTTTTCTTTCTAGGCTGTTCCTAAATTCACTTATCAGACATTTCGCTGGAGGAAGCATTTTAACACACTTAAGCTATACAAGATTGTTCAGAATAAAATGAAACTCACTAGTTCATAGTAACCAGAGTTTTTTTCTGAAACTCTTCTGCAGATATGCTCACGCTGATATCTGTCAGCCCTTTAGCACAGTGACCAACATGATAATTCCACCTTCAAGTTCTTTTAAAATTCCAGGATGGCTGCCATATCTTAGGTACTTATGTACATGAAACCTATGGCTTTGGGAACACCTCTAGGCTAACTTTTTTTTCCTGTTTACCCCAAATAAGGTCAGGGTGAACAAGTCACAAGCAGACTTAACAAGAGATAGTGAATCTCCTTAGTTATTTACTTACATGACTATAATATCAATTGCATTAAAAAGTGATGTCTCTACAATCTAGCTTATTATAAACCCATGAAAAATTACCTTTTTCCTGAGAAAGCTTTTCCTCCTGCCGTTGGTGGTGAGGTTTGTAAGGTGCTGCCCCCTGACTTAGTTCTTCAGCCACAAAACCATCCAGAAAAGATAAGGAAGCATCTACCTATATTAAAGTAAAGCAAAAATTAGGAATTAAAAAAACTTACCCTAAACATTAGACTGCACATTCACAGAAGTGATTTCAGCCCATATTTCCTAAAAATAATTTTTAAGTGAAAAACAGAACTTCAACTCTAAAATTGCTACTCAACTCTCTTTCTGAAACATCTATAATCAAAACACTCAGCTAAGAATCTAACAATATAAGTCATGTGCACTTATTATTCATTTCACTGCACTGCAGAATACATTTTTGAGCATCCAACATGTTAAGGCATCATGTTAGATGCTATAACTGAGACAAAGTAAGACACAAGTCCTGCTTCATGAGACTTGTAACCTACCAGAGGAGAAGACACATACACTATGAGCTATAGTGTCTACATTAGTTTCCTCCTGCGGGGGGCTAAAAACAAAGCCCCCAGCAAAGGCTAGTTCCTTCTGGAGGCTCCAGTGGAAAATAGGTTTCTTGTCTCTTCCAGCTCCTAGAGGCTGCCAGCATTCCTTGGCTTGGGGCTATATCACTCCAATCTTTGCTTCTATTGTTACTTGGCCTTCTCCTCTCTGACCTCTTGCCTCACTTTTATAAGGACCCTTGTGATTATATTATGCCTACTCAAATAATCCAAGATAGTCTTCCCATTACAAAACCCTTAACTTAATCAAACCTACAAAGTCCCTTTTACCATATAAAGTAACTTATGCACAGGTTACAGGGATTAAGATGTGAATATCTTGGGGAGGCCCATTATCCAGCCTCCCACAGTGCCTTTGATTTAACTATCCTATTCCACTCTACCTAAAAATGCTTTGTTACAAATCTGTGGAAAATTACTTAATTTCAATCAAGTACAAGAATAGAAAGGTACAAGAGAATGCTTAAATGAAAAGAAATAAAGAGATGAAGAAAGAGTAAGGGGAAAAGGAGAAAAGAAAAAGCGAGGAGAGAAATAAAAATGAGATACACAAGAGGATATAGCAGTAACAACCTCAGAAACCACAGATTTGCCTCTCCTAATTTAGCCAAGTGTATACAAACAGCTCAGATAATTTAGAACAGCAGGTAATTCTCAAAAAATTTAAGTGGCATGTCACACTGCGCATTTGGCAAAGTTTAGTTTTGATAAGATTTTTTTTTGAGTTTTTTTTTCCCATGTGGACCACTTCTAAAGTCTTTATTGAATTTGTTACAATATTGCTTCTGTTTCACGTTATAGTTTTTTGGTCATGAGACATGTGAGATCTTAGCTCCCCAACCAGGGATTGAACCCACACCCCCTGCATTAGAAGGCAAAGTCCTAACCACTGGACCGCCAGGGAAGTCCCTCGATAAGATTCTTAAGAGATGAAGCCATGTCATCATCATTATCTTTTATTGTAAGAAAGGGAAGTAGAGTAACTAACTAGTTTAATACTATGTATAGCATATTTATTCATATAGTCTCTGGAATGCCTACCAAATGTTAAACCAAGGCCTCTACCCATGAGGAGCTAATGAAAAAAATTAATGAACAAAGGTTCAAAATGAATTCAAGCCATGAACACCTGAGTCATAATTAGTGGGAATACTGCCCATCCTCCCCTCTTCTTCAACTATATGACATCTAATATAAAAATCTGAACAAATCTGACTTCCTTCTGGAAGTTTTCAGATTTACACCAATCTGACAGAGAACTCAGAGGTGAGCAGTAACTAAGTGCTTTGGATTAAAGGCAGCACTGGCTGAAAGTAGGTGGGAGAAGAAAAGGCGGGTGATCAGGTTCCAAAGTGGTAAAGATTTAGATAGTAGATGGACAAAATAAAATGGAGAACTTTTTTTCTTACATTCTCAAAGAAAAGAGAGCAATAATAAAATGACATATTAGAGAAGTTCAAAGGAGATAAAATTTTTAAGTTCTCAAATTATTATATGTTAAAAGAGATTGTCATAGACTATAAACCCCTGCACTGCAGTTCTCCAGAACAGATTAGTCTTCCTGACTATTTAGGATCACTACTGAGTAGAAGCTCTCAAATGCTCTCTCACACTAATGTGAGAAAAATGCCAACCTTCATCTAAAGTGCTACAGAAATTACATTTTGGCATATTCCAGATATATCACAAATGCAAGAATTATTCTGTTTAAACACAATGCAATTTTGTAAAAGATGGAATGCAGATATCTTACCACCATGTCTTCACAACTCTTATCAACTGGAAGCAAGCCCTTCATAAATTTCACATTCTCATGCAAATGTTTTAATTCAAATGCATGCTGTCTCAAACAAGTATCCAAAGATGTGGTAAATTCCTGGATTAATCTCTCAACTATATTAGAAGAGTGTGCTTGAGGTGTCAACTTGGTCACAGCAGCAATTATCCAGGCTTTTGTTTCTGAAGAAATGGAGTCACTTCTAAGTAACTTGTAGAGCTTGGTTATAACTTCCTCTGGCGTTTCCTTATCTAAGAGGTAGGAATACTCCCCTAAAACCTAAAATAAAGAAATGTATATATGCAAATATCAAGTTATATAACAACTATACTCAGAAATTTAAACAAAGTGCCTACTGCCGGAGTGAATTTAATTTATACTAAACATATTCTCATGGTGAAGAAATTATTAAAGATACAATTGTATATTTTAGGTTCAAAATTACACCAAGAATTGGAAGTGAGTACAAAAAGGTTTTCCACATCTTTATCATTAACAATATATAAAGTAGCATACCGTTACAAGTTAGCTTTCTTCTGAACTTCCAGGTTTGGATGTTGGTTTTTAAAAGCACTTTCACATTCTGTTACTATTTTTTCCAATAAGCATTTAAACAAGTGGTTCTCACATACTAGTATGCGTAAAAGCCACCTGAGGTGTTTCATAGAAACACACATTTCTATACTCTCCTCCCAGATAATCTGATTTAGTATGTCTGTGGTGGGGATATACAATACACATTCTGAAAAAGCATCAGCTGATTCTGATGTAGATGATCCACAGAAGAGACTCTGATGAACACTGATCTATTTTACACATACTCTTTCCTACATCTAATTTATTCAGGTGATATATAATCCTATCGGTCTATGGATCGTTAATAAACTGATAATTCATGGAGTGTGAGATCTTTCCTAAGTAGTATTTATGAAGTATATTCATGTATAACACTGGGACCAGCAAGAAAAAACAGTGAGGTGAGGTGATAGGCAAGGGAAGATTTATGGCTAGTAACAAGAAGAGGAAAAAAAAAGAAATAGGACTACATAAATTCAATCCTTAAATAGTAAGATAACTTTTTGACTGGTTTAATAAAAGATGGAAGGAAGTTCTAGAAGAACAGGTAACCTAAATCCCAGTTCAAAAATCAATGGACTTGAGCTTCCCTGGTTGCACAGTGGTTAAGAATCAACCTGCCAGACGTAGAGAGTGGACTTGAGGACACAGGGAGGGGGAAGGGTAAGCTGGGACGAAGTGAGAGAGTGGCATGGACATATATACACTACCAAATGTAAAATAGATAGCTAGTGGGAAGCATCCACGTAGCACAGGGAGATCAGCTCGGTGCTTTGTGACCACCTAGAGGAGTGGGATAGGGAGGGTGGGAGGGAGACGCAAGATGGAGGAGATATGGGAATATATGTATATGTATAGCTGATTCACTTTGTTATAAAGCAGAAACTAACACACCATTGTAAAGCAATTATACTCCAATAAAGATGTTAAAGAAAAAAAAGAGTAGCCCCCACTCACTGCAACTAGAGAAAGCCCGCAAGCAGCAACAAAGACCCAATGCAGCCAAAAATAAATAAATTAAATTAATTAGTTAAAAAAAAATCAATGGACTTAAGCTTCTGGGAAGATAGAGTAGGTGAATTTTTTCCACTATTCTTCCTGCTAAGTACGCCTAAAAACCCTTGATGTTATACATAAAACACATATACAAAGACTGAAAGGTAGAGAAAAAAAGGCAGATGACTAAGAACCTTGGGACCTAAGGAACAATACAGTGGGTTATCTGTTGCCTCATATACCTCAGACTGGGGACTTGAGAACCAGCAACCTAGAAATGCCAGTGGGAAAGGACAAAAAAGCCCCAAGAAAAGCCTGCCCTCTAGCCAAAGGGCCAGGAAGACAGAAAACTTTCAGATAATAATCCTTCTACTCCAGCCAAGCACCAAATAGAAAAAACTGTAGCCCCACCCATACCAGCAAAGGTGGAGTGGAGAGTCAAGACTTCAACCCCTACCAGGTTGTAAAAAGCATCTCAACTCCCCAGCAAGGGTGGTAACAGAGAGACTGAGTGAAAACCAGGAACTTCATCCCCGCCAAGCTGTAGAAAGGCCCACTCTTCTGCAGTGTCTGTGAAGACTACATAGGAAGCCTATACTTCACCTCCACCCAAGTTTAAAGAAGTAGCCCTCCCCCTCTCTGCTGGAGTGGTGTCAGGGGAAGCCTAGCAGAGACTCAGGCTCAGTGGAGGCCACATAGTTAGAGATATCTACACCCCATCTCAACACCATCACCGAAAGAATTAATCCACATCTATAGAATACACCACCCAACAATAAGCAGAATGCCCACTCTTTTCAAGCACCCACAGAACATATAAGACAGATCATATCTTAGGCCATAAAATAAACCTCAACAAACTTAAAAGAACTGAAATTATAGAGTACTTTCTCTGACAACAATGGAATCAAACTAAAAATCAGTAACAGGAAAGATAACGAGAAATTTTCAAAACCCTTAAAAACTAAACAACACCCTTGCACACAATCTTTCCAGGAAACAGAAGAGGAAAGAACACTCCCAAGCATTTTATGAAGCCAGTATTACCTTGATACCAAAACCAAACATAGCAGAAAAAAACAAGAAAACTACAGACCACTATCCCTCATGCACAGAGATGCAAAAATTATTAACATGGTCTCAAGAAATCTACAAAAAACAATTCTAGATTAATAAGTGAGTTCAGCAAGATTGCAGGGTATAAGAACAAAATACAGAAATAAACCTATACACTAATGTCCACTAATCTACAAAAAAAGGAAGCAAGAGTATAGGACACAGAAAAAACAGTCTTTTCAATAAGTGGTGCTGGGAAAATTGGACAGCTACATATAAAACAATGAGATTAGAACATTTCCTCACAACATATACAAAAATAAACTCAAAATGGATTAACAACCTAAATGTAAGACCTGAGACATACAACTCCTAGAAAAGAACACTCTTTGACATAAATCGTAGCAATATTTTCTTGGATCTGTCTCCTAAGGCAAAAATAAACAAATGGTATGCAATTAAACTTAAAAGCTTTTTGCACAGTAAAGGAAACCATCAACAAAATGAAAGATAACCCTCATAATGTGAGAAAATATTTGTAAATAATGCAACCAATTTGTATATTTTGGCTTAATTTCCAAAATATACAAACAGCTCATATCAAAAGAACAAACAGTCCAATGAAAAAACGGGCAGAAGACCTGAACAGACATTTTTCCAAAGAAGACGTACAGATGGCTAACAGGCACATGAAAAGATGCTCAACATCACTAATTATTAGAGAAAAGCAAATAAAAACCACAATGAGATACCACCTCACACCTGTGAGAATGACTATGATCAAAAAGTCTACAAATAATAAATGCTGGAGAGGGTGTGGAGACAAGGGAACCTTTCTATATGGTTGGTGGGAATTTAAATTGGTGTAGCCATTATGGAAGACAGTATGGAGGTTTCTTAAAAAAATTAAAAGTAGAGTTGCCATATGATCCAGCAATCTCACTCCTGAGCATATACCTGGAGAAAACTATAATTTGAAAAGATACACGCCTCTAGTGATCATAGCATCATTATTTACAACAGCCAAGACAAAGAAACAACCTAAAATGCCCATCAACATATTGAATGGATTAAGAAGATGTGGTATATATACACAATAGAATACTACTCACCCATAAAAAAGAATGAAATAATGTCATTTGCAGCAACATGGGTGGACCTAGAGATTGTCATACTAAGTGAAGTCAAAGAGAAAGACAAACACCATATGGTATCACTTATATGTGGAATCTAAAATATGACACAAATGAACTTATCCACAAAAGAGAAACAGACTCACAGACATAGAAAACAAACTTATGGTTACCAAAGGAGAAAGGGGTTGGGGGAGGGATAAATTAGGAATTTGGGGTTAGCAGATACAAACTACTATATATAGAATAGATAAACAACAATGTCCTACTGTATAGCACAGGGAACTATATTCAAAATCCTGTACTACACCATAATGGAAAAGAATATGAAAAAGAGTATGTACATATATGTATAATTGAATCACTCTGCTGACACCAGAAACTAACACATGCTGTAAATCAACTATACTTCAATAAAATGAAAAGAACCAGAAAACAAACTAGTGGTTACCAGTGGAGAGAGGGAAGGGAAAGGGGCAGGTTACGGGTAAGGGATTAAGAGACACAAACTACTATGTATAAAATAGATAAGCAACAAGGATATACTGTATAGTACAGGAAATTATACCCATTATCTTGTAATAATCAATAATGGAATATAATCAGCAAAAATAATGAATCACCATGCTATACACCTGAAACTAATATAATATTGTAAATCAGCTATACTTCAATTAAAAAAAAAGATTTTGAAGTTTCTCCTGAATTTGTATCACTTTGCACCATCGTAAAGTTGAAAAATCATAAGCTTAACCATCTTAAATCAGGGACCATCTGTACCTAAGTATAAATCTAACAAAACAGGTACAGGATTTGTATGCTGTAGAAAAAGAAACACTCTAAATATATGAACATATCGTGTTCATGGAGGAAAATACAAATGGACACCAAATACAACAATCAATTTAGACAAGGATTATCAATGCTAAAACCATTGATGAAAGATAGTTGAAGAACAGATGTTCACAAAGTCTCACAGAATCACCTCACAGATTAGTTCTAAATTAGTAAGGAGAAACAGCACGTTTACAATGGCGAGAACCTTTACAAAGGTCACCATCTTAACCAAACAAAAGAATTTACTATCACCAATAATTGGAGGAACTGACATTATATGCATCCTGATACAATGCAGTGAGAAATACAGATTGACAATGTAGTATTCTTGCTAAAAATGTTTAACTGAACCAGAAATAGTCCAATTCAGAATGCTGGACATTCTGCAAGTCAACAGTATTCATCCAAAATAATCAATGTCATGAAAACAAAAAGAAACTGCGCATCACTGTAAAATAAAAGACATTAAAAGACATAGCTAAATGCAATTTGTGAATCTTAACCTGATATGGGATTGGGAGGAGTAGAAAAATAGTCATAAGAGACATTTTTTGGACAACTGGATAAGTCTGAATATGGACTGTATATTGGGTGATATTAATGAATTAAGGTCACATTTCTTAGGTGCAATAATGGTTTTATGGTTATCTAGAACATCACTCTTGGGAGATTCACACTGAATTTTTTATAGGGTAAGTGTCATGAGGTCTGCAACTCAATTTTATTTTTATTTATTTTATTTATTTTTTTTTGTGGTACATGGGCCTCTCACTGTTGTGGCCTCTCCTGTTGCGGAGCACAGGCTCCGGACACGTAGGCCCAGTGGCCATGGCTCACAGGCCCAGCCACTTCGCGGCACGTGGGATCTTCCCGGACCGGGGCACGAACCCGTGTCCCCTGCATTGGCAGGCGGACTCTCAACCACTGCGCCACCAGGGAAGCCCCTGCAACTCAATTTTAAATGGCTCAACAAAACAAACTGTATATAGGTAGACCTAGCTATAGATATAGATGTACTGGGTTGGCCAAAAAGTTCGTTCGGGTTTTTCCATAAGATCTTAGGGAACCAAATAGATACAGTAAAGCAAAGATGGTTAAAAATATTAACTGGGAATCTAGTATAGGGGTATTTATTATGCCATTTTTTCAACTTTCCTGTAGATTAGAAAAGAATTCTTTAATAAAAGTCTGGGTAAAATTATGGTTAACACGCTAACATTTGGCAAAACCATAAAATATTAAAGTGTGAATATCCTATGACCCAGAGCTGCACTTCTCCAAATCTCCCCCTAAAGAAATGCTCACTCATATGCACAAGAAAGAATATACAAAGGTGACAGGATGTATACGATTATGTAGGTTTATATAACGTAAAACTGTGACCTTGTTTTGCAGAGATGATCTCCTTGCTGGCTTTGATGAAGCAAGCAGCCATGTTGGGAGGCCCACCTGGCAAGAAACTGAGGGCAGCTCTTGGAGCTAAGAGCAGGCAACAGTCAACAGTCTGAACCTCAAACCCTCAGTCTTACAGCTGCAAGAAACTGATTTCTGCCAACAACCACATGTGAGCTTGGAAGCAGATCCTTTACTAATCAAGCTTCAGATGAAACAGCAGCCCCAAGTGACACGATGATTGCAACCCTGAAAGACCTTAAGCAGAGAACCCATGCCTGGACTCCTAACCCACAGAAACTGTGAGATAACAAATGTATGTTGTTTTAAGTTTGTGGTAACATTATTATGCAGCAATAGAAAGCTAACATAGCACAGATATATGAGTATTCACATATTCAAAAATAGATTCACATAGAAAACACAACAAATGCATTGTAGACACAGACAGGCATCTAAATAAATACCCATATTTAAAAGACTAGTCAAGTGAGATGGCAGAGAGAATGAATAGATAAGTAAATAGTTAAGTGATAGAAGGTAGCCACTGGGAAAGAAAATTGACAGCTGAAGGAGTTAACTGAGTAGAACGGAATGATTTCTGAAGAAATATATTATTAGTATTTGACTTTATAAAAAAATAATATAAACATTTATGATTCAATGTACTTTGCTCACCCAACTCATAACTTGAAGAAATCTCTGTGGGTAGAACACATTTTCCACATCTAGTAAAGTGAAATAAGACTGAACTGCATAGAGCCTTAATTGTTGATTTTCTGTTTCATCATCAAAACCTACAAAGAAATTAATATACCATTTTAATTTCTACTAAATTCTCTAAGGACTCTGTAATAAAAACATTTAATTTAAAAATCTTTGCAGAATGCAACAGTTTACTAACCTTCTGCTAGCACTCTCAGAAAGTTATTGGGAATATCAGGATGCATAACATCTCCTCCCACTGAAAATACAGCATTCATTGTCTGAACAAACCACGCATTATCAGGAGCATATGTGTCCACAGTGTTAAGAACAAGTACACTTCCAAATGCCACTTATTAAAATTATCCTTTCTGTATAAATCTTAAAAAAAAATAACCCTCAGTTCATCCTAGTTTGGCATTTATACCTTTAACTTCTGCCAATAAATTGTTCTATACTCCAGCTTTATGTAAAATAGGTGCTCAGTAAAAGCTTATTGAATAAACTTAATAAACCAGTTCATGGTGCTTTATCTAGCACCATATATTGCGCATAACAGGTGTCCAATAAATAACTCTGAAATAATTGAAAGAAATGTTCCAGCAACTATGGACAAAAACATAATGGAAAATGATATGCACTTCAGAAACTAAATGTGACATGTCTATCTGAACAAGTTGTTGACCCTCTTTTCTAATCTGTTCTTCTTCAGTTCTAAAATTCTATCATTCTGCTGGCCAGAGCTATAGCACTGGTTAGGACAAAACTATACTTAAGCAATTTCCAAGATACTTTGATCAGCATTATTCATTCATTCAATCTTAGATTTAAACAACAGACATCTTAAAAAGAATGATGAGTAACCTCGTGACCTGCAAAGTTCCTTTGACTTTTAAGAAACAAATGTGAAGAAAAGTAACATGTGAATGGAGTTGCCAACTACTTCACTGTGACAATTTCTAGTATAAACAGTAGTGTAAAGGATAAATTTTAGCATCCTGATCCCCTCAACAATCCCCTGAAAACAACAAGAACTTTTACTCAGGAAAGAAACTGAGTAGGAAGTAAAGTCAAAGACAAGGAGGGACTCTAAGAGGAATCAGACAGAGATTCCTGTATCCTCCTGCTGATAATACTGACCAATGGAATAAAAAGAACCAGGAAAAAAGTCATCCCCTAGGAAGTCTACACAAATTCTTGCTTTTGACAACAAGAGAGGCTTGAATATCAGGAATGGAAGTTACTGCTGGGCCTCTGAACTCAACCTGCAAGTGACCATGTCTAGAGCAATTATTTTAAAGTCACTGTGTAACTAAAGGTATTTTATGACTCATGGTCCAAACAAAGGATATTTCTCAGCCAGCTCAGCTATTTTGCCAACCAAATTGACAATAATATATTCTTCTTTGCTCTGATGTAAATATTCAAGCATTTTCTGGACAATCACTGTTATATTCTGTGCATTAGTAATTCTGTAAAGAAGTTCCAGAGTCTATTTAAGAAAGAAAAATAAAAATAGTATTATAAAACTATGCATGATAACAAATAAATACTGTAACATATAGGTTTATAACAGTTGATTCTTCCACTTTTATGTAGCTCTACTGGGCAGTTAATAGGTGCTCAAGAAATGCACATTTTAACTGAACAGAACTTAAGAAAGGTAAGACTATTGTCAAAAAAAAAAAAGAATTATAATCAATTCCAAAGTCTAAAAGCCTTCTATTGATATAGATAATAATCATCTGACATCTCTACATGACAGGCCATGTAAAGACTAAAAAGTTAAAAGGTTAATAATCTATTTTCTAAAAATGTAACAGCTTCTTAAACCTACATTACCTGTGTGCTATGCATGTGCGCGTGTGTGTGTATACATGCATACACATATAAAAATCCAGTCTTGCAAAATGCTTTTTCCACACTACCCGAACAACAGAAAACCACACTTGAATGGATTTGTCAGCTAAGGGCAAATGGTCTCTAATGGATGGATAAGGTAGTGCAAGCACTTCAAACCCCAGCAAGGCCTACGTTCAGAATCTCAGGTATCAAGGAAGAACCATTTTACAGCTTTCTCAGTGATGAGGCATATACCTCTTGCTGCCTGAAGAAAGATGAAGGAAGACCAGTACCAGAGTAAGCTCCCATTTGGCTGGCTTTCTGAGGTCCTACATCAGGGTTGTAAAAATATCATAGTTCCCAGAAATCAGTAGGAGACAAAGGGCAATAATGAGAAAGCATCGTTTACTGGCATTTCAGGAGCAACAATATTAGCTGCAGGAGAATTTCCACATATCCTTCTCATCAAACTTGTTCATCTATCTTTAGGGTTCTTTCTAATTTTTCAGTCCTATACCCAGGACTTCAAGTACAAAGGACAACAGATTTTCAATTTTTTTTAAACTGTTCCAGTTAATCCTTAACACCATTTAAAATCTATAAATACATAGGTTCCCCATGTATTTATAACTTTCAACCTATGAAGCTGCTTCAGACATGCTTCCTGTAGACTCTATATGTCACATATTTTAAGATAATCTACACCAAATTTACTTCCTACTCTAAGACCATGAAATTTAGCATTTCCAGGACTGAATGGGGACTGGTATTATGAACTGCATGGCTAGAGGTCTTTTCTGTTAACTCCTTCTTGCCTTCTTTTTCCCTGCTATGAAAGAAAAGTAATAAAATCAGGTAAAAGGGAATCCCAGCCCCAAGCAACAGGTCACTCCATACCCCAGGACCAAAGTTCTTGCCATATGGTTACTGATGGAGGTTAGAAGTGACAGTGGCATCGAGGAGACAGTACTGCAGTACCTTCTTGGGGCACCACTGATACTCAGTACCCTTCCCCAAAAATTCAACCTACTTTTCTCACTACAGATCAGACTTCATAATTTTAAAAGTTGTCTAGTTTCCCTTTGACCCTCATTTTTAAATGAGATCCCAATAAATAAATACAGCAATAAGAAAACTGTATCTAAGTCAACCGTGTTCAATTTAGTACTTAACCACACAAAGAAAATGCATGCTCTATGTCTGTTCAAAGTGGAAGAGCAATATAATTATTTGCTACTGTCCCTTGGCATCTTCTCATTTTTCTACAATGTCCACACATAGAAATTAGTACATCTGTAAACTTCCTGGATTCATTCAAGGCAGGTAACAATTTTCAGAAGATTAAAAATATGAATGCAAAAAACATATATGTATATATATGTAGATGGCAATTTCTTGAAAATATTATTTCAAAAATAGTACTAAAATTCAAAATTCATAATCTTATCTTTTAAAAATTATAGTTGTTTAATGTAATACAGTGTTCTCTCAATAAACTACTTTTAATTCACTGCTTTTAAGTAATTTAGATGTTTAGTAGATTCTTTTTATCTTTATTATTTTTAAAATCAGAAATAAAACTATCTACTCTTCTTACCTAGGTCCCATATACCATTTTAAATGAAGGTATAAAGTGATTCTCTACATAAGAATTAACAGATATATCTACATGGACACCCAAGTAGATACTGAAGCAATTTTATAAGAGGAAAAAGTTGAAAAAAATTAAGTAAATTATACAACTTTCCTTCCAAAAAGTTCAAAACATTTTAGGGATATCTTTATTAATTCTTTCAACATTCCTACATATTCAATAGGGACTGCATTAGCCTAGTTTATAGACGTTAATAATGGAAAAAATTAATCATCATAAATAACTTCTTAAGATTGTACTAATAGAAGACCTGGGAATAGAGTTCATGTCTCCGATTCATACAATTCTTGGACCAAAAAGATATTAATGAATCCTATACAGGTAACTGGACCTAACTCCTCCAACTCATAATTTATTTTTTTATTATTTTTTTAAGAGTGCTCTTGTCTTGACAGCATTTGTTTCATTTTCTATTTTATTTATTTCTAAAACGTATTTATTTATTTATATTTTTGGCTGTGTTGGGTCTTCATTGCTGCATGTGGGCTTTCTCTACTTGCGGTGAGCGGGGGCTACTCTTTGTTGCGGTGCGCAGACTTCTCATTGTGGTGGCTTCTCCTGTTGTGGAGAGCCCATGGGCTCTAGGCGCATGGGCTTCAGTAGTTGCAACACGTGGGCTCAGTAGTTGTGGCTTGTGGGCTCTAGAGCACAGGCTCAGTAGTTGTGACGCACGGGCTTAGTTGCTCTGCGGCATGTGGGATCTTCCCAGACCAGGGCTCCCCTGCATTGGCAGGCAGATTCTTAACCACTGCACCACCAGGGAAGCCCCAACTCATAATTTAAAACCATTATTGTCGCAGACATAGAGGATGGACTTGAGGACACCAGGAGGGGGAAGGGTAAGCTGGGACGAAGTGATAGAGTGGCATGGACTTATATATACTACCAAATGTAAAACAGATAGCTAGTGGGAAGCAGCTGCATAGCACAGGGAGACCAGCTCAGTGCTTTCTGACCACCTAGAGGAGTGGGATAGGGAGGTTGGGAGGGAGACGCAAGATAGAGGAGATATGGGGATATATGTATAGCTGATTCAGTTTGTTATAAAGCAGAAACTAACACACCATTGTAAAGCAATTATACTCCAATAAAGATGTTTTAAAAAAATAAATAAATAAATAAACCATTCTTGTAATTACTGACTCAAGTGCTTTTTAGAAAAGTTCCTTAAACTTCAATAGAAAGAATAAAATGCACTCAAAAGTTAAAATACACACGTGTGCAAATACACAGTGCCCACCATTTTAATCTCTCTCCATAATACCAACAAAAAGTTTAAAAATTGTAACACTTCACATACATTACTCAAAATACCAGTTTACCTCTCTTTTAATAATGGGATCAGGATGGTCTAAGCATTCAATTATTGTCATCTGGTGTTGAAGAGCCAGAGTGGGATCCTGTTGGATAACATAGGTAAGAGCCTTCAATCCTAGAAGCAAAGATTACATTATAGAAAGTGACATAAAACAAATACCCAGCAAATTTCTCTCTTGGTAATTTCCATCAAAAGAACCAATCATCTTACCTAAATATTTGAGATTTATTTTAGGTGACAAAACAAATTTTCCAATGCACTTGGCAGCCTTCTCAAGTAATTCCGATTTAGGATAAATAGAATAGACTGTATGTACACATTCAAACAGAATAGCTACAGAAATAAAATATTATAATGTCAGGGATCATATTAAGGCATAATAAAAGAATATATCTGTGTAGAACTCCTAACAAAACAAACTAATTGGAAGGTCAGTTTTAGTCAAAAATCTTACTTATGGAAATTTTTCAAATATAAGAACTTTACTGTTTTCAGGCTTTATACAGTTGTTAGGATTACGTTACCACAGTACAATTTAAAGACAATGATATATATTAATAGATAAGAATGATATATTCAGTCATGCAACAAGTATTTTCTGAAACTTCCTATGAGCCAGACATTGTTCTACTAGTATGGATACAGCGGTGACAAAAACCCCTGCCCTCAAGGAAATCACATTCTAACGGACACATAAGTAATACATTCACTGTTCCCATATAAATAGATACTTCCAACACTCCTTGAATGCTTAAAATAATTTATTCTTAGGCATTTTCTACCACTTTTACATAGAAACTGTATATGTAGTTTATTTCAGTGCAGTTTATTTCAACATAATCATTTCAGGATGCTCTAGCATTTATTTCAAAATAGGGCCACTACTCAAAAATCTTCAAACCACTTTTTAACAATTAACCTCCAAGGATATAGAAAATCTACTGAACATCTTAATAGTGTTCAAATTTGATTTTCTGGTCTCATCAAAGATCTGATAGCTATAATAGACGATCAAAGTGGATACTAAAATTTTTTTCAAACTCTCTTAAAGAGCATAAGTCAAAGAGCTGGAGCTTTGCCATGGTAAAGAAGAATCATTTAGGCACCATTAAGTCCTGCATGTCCTGTGGAATCACAGAATGAGAAGTGAGACACAGAATCAGCAGACTTAAAAATAGTTCTACTATATAGTTGAAGCATATCGTGTCTTTGATAGAATCACTCCTGCTCTTTTTCCAAAAGCTTAAAACATAACAATCAAACATTTGTGTACAGGATATAAGATAGATCCTGAATATTCAACTATGTTTTACACTGCTAAGCTGCCTATCAATTGATACACATATAAATTTCTGGTAAAAAGCTTTACATAAATAAATACTTTCTAAAGAAGGAGAGAGAAAAGAAATCAGAAGGAAAGATTTTTAAGAAATAAACAACTCTTTAAGAAGGGAACTGACTTTAATTAAAGGAAAACCTACAAAGTAAGTCAACTGAACCTAAAAAGATTCTTTATATATCCAGATGTTATGCTGTAAAACGCTGTTACTCTGTGCTATGAAAAAAGCTGATTTTATGACTTCACGAAGTAAACAGAGAGAGCCTTAGTCAACTTAACTAATCAACTAAGGCAGGAGTAGGCAACACATCATTAAACACAGCCCTCAGCCTATCTTTGTAAGCTGTGAACTAAGAATGATTTTTACATTTTTGAGATATAACTGACATATAAAATTATTACTTTTAGGTATACAATTACATTTTTAAAGGTTTAAAATAAACAAAGGAGAATATATGACAAAAACCTATATGACCGACACAAAACCTAAAATATTTACTATCTAGCCCTCTTTTCAGAAAAAGTTTGCCAAACCCTGAACAAACGTGCTAGTCCTAAGTAAGATTAAAAATGATGATGTTCCATTTTCTATCATAACTGACATATTTTCCTTTATGGATTTCTACCATTTAGAGCTCTCCTATCAAGATGTTTTACTGACAACAAAAGCTTCTCATTACCCATCTAAAACCTAAACTTTTATATTTAGATGCTCATAAGATTTCTGAAAAGCTAGTTTAGGCAAAATTAATAGTTCAAAAATTGCACTTATTAGTCAACCTAGGCATAAATGAGCTGAAATGAACTTAACAGGTTTTTAAAATTATTTTTAAATAATTTAGAGGCTAATAGCCTTTATTCTCCAACTCTACAAAAGTCTAAGTCCATAAATGAAAAAGCAATTACTCTGCTGTCTCCTCACTGCAGTGGTTAAAAGAATACAGTAAGTCCCCTACATACGAACCTTCAAGTTGCAAACTTTCGAAGATACAAATGTGCCCCTGTACGCCAGCAGTTGTACTGTACTACCGTACTTTTCAAGGTACTGTACTGTAAGATTAAAAATGCTTTATTTATTTTTGTGTTTGTTTTTTATGTATTATTTGTGTGAAAAGTGTTATAAACCTATTACAGTACAGTACTATATAGCCAACTGTGTTGGTTGAGTACCTAGGTTAACTTTGTCGGACTTACGAACAAATTGGACTTACAAACATGCTCTCGGAAAGGAACTTGTTTGTACGTAGGGGGACTTGCTGTAGAGCCTCTAAGGATTTCTAAAGGTAAAATGCATCATGGAGCTTTGTTTACTCTTCCAGAGGAAGCCAGGTCCTAATCAAAATACCATCAAGTAAAAAATTAACAAATTAAAAATTAATAACATTCTAACATTTGTGACACTGTGGTTTTATTATAGATATTTTGGGTAGGATTATGCACAAAATTTGAAGAAGTTCTACTGACACTGTATCCTTCAGACTAGACTTTACTTTCATTTTAAATAAATTAACTACTGTCACCACTCTGGCAGCGAGATGCGGGTACCATGCAATAAGGGTGGCAGTCCGCTCTGCCTCCTTTAACACTTGGAGAGGCAAGGGATGCTGGTTCCTTCTGGATGGGGGATGGAAGTACCCTGCCTGGAAGAGGGAGGGGCACCCCGTTACTGCTCCCTATACAATCTGCATTGAGATTAAGGGGGTGGCCCTGGTATACATAACCAGTTTAAAAGCCCCAACTCGTCACTAGACTTCTTCTAACGCCACCTCAGGAAAGATGGGAGGGGTACCTCATTATTCCCTACTCCTGGATAATGTGAAATCCAGGCTTCCCACATCATCTCCACTGGCAATGCCAGGGAGGGTCCCCCTTAACATCTGGCAGGGATGAAACTGCAGCTGCCCCTCTTGGTCTTCACCACTAGCCCCGTGGGAGGGTTGGGGCACCTCATTGTATCTGGTGAGGGTGGAAATCTTGACTCTCCATTCAGCCTCTGCCGCTGTGGGTGGTCCACAGTTTTTTCTGTCTGATGCTTGGCTGTAATAGAAGAGCTATTGTCTAAAAGTTTTCTATCTTGCTAGTTTGCCCTTTTTCCCTTAGTCCTTTGGCTAGAGAGCAGGCTTTTTTCAGGGCACTTTTGTCTGCACCTGTTGGCATTTTCAGACTGCTGGCTCTTCAGTACCCAGTCTGGGGTATATGAGGCAAAAAGAAAGCCCAGGGTACCCACCTTGGTGTTGTTCCTTGAATGCAAAGGTCCCTAAGCAGTCTCCCTTCATTTATCCACCTTTCAGAGTCTTATATGTTTATTTTACATATAATGTCCAGAGTTTTTAGGTGTACTTAGTGGGAAAAGTACTTCTATCTACTTTTGATGGTTCTATCCCTTATACTCCATTTTATGTAATTCTCCCAATTTACCAAATAGTTTACTAAAAATGTCTTTCTCATATTATCAGTACCCTGCCCAAAACTATTCCATACCTCCAGATTTATACAGTATAAAGTTCCTTTGGCTGCCATGGGAGGACCTCCACAATATGGGCTTCCCACTGCTTCACTATGAACTGTCCAACAGGCTGGCAAGTCACTGTTCTCTGAAACTGTTTTAAACACGCCCGCTTCTGCACCTTCTCTCATGTTCCCTCTGCCTTAGAACCACTTTTAACCTCCCTTCTGGCTATCTTAATCCTATCTTTCAAGGTCCTATTATATCAATAAATCTTTATGTGCCCTGAAACCCAGAGTGATCTTTATCGCCTCTAGATTCCTGTAATATTTATTGACTTTATCTCCCCTTTGCATTCTGCCTTATACTGACATTATGCTTTCATAAATAAGTTATCTTCTCCATTATACTGTAAATTCCTTGAAGGCAAAGATTATATTTAATACTTCTTCATATCCTCTACATCACTTTATGCAATGCCTGGCACATAGTGGATACTCAGTAAATGCCTCTGATGTGATTTACTTCTTGATTTGACACTAAGTTATAATAATGAAACTTTCATAAAAATACAGTTTAAAAAATATTAAGACTGAAACCCAATAACATAACTGATAAAAGTAAAATAACTTTCTCTTCTTTCAATTCAATTAAAACATATTACTCACTGAGTAATCCAGTGCCAGATACTGGGATATGCTGGCCGATAAGACAGACACAGTCCCTGCACTTATGAAGTTTATAATTAAAATTCACATTTTTAAGTAATAAGATATTTATATTAGGTTTACCAGAGAACACTCTACCATTGATAAACTCACTGTAAGCTATAAACTGTATCAGTACAAATACGGGGGGGAAATGTAGAACAAAGAGAAGATAAATAAAGGAAAAAAGGGAAACAACAGAAACTAAGTTTCTCTGGCAAGGTGAAACACTGGACTGACAGACTACAAAGAAATAAACTGTTGGCACTGGTCCCAGCAATCTTAATAAAAGAAGGATGTCCTAATGGAGAACATTAAAAAATATTTCCTCAGGTGTACAGTATTCTCTAAATCGAAAGTAGTAACAGTGGTTATCTCCAGGAGGGGGAACTGGGTGGTGGGTCATAAGGGTCAAAAGGACACTTACTGTTCACTGTATACCCTTTTGTACCTTTTGAATTTTGAACCATGTGTATATATTACCTATTCAAAAAAATTTAAAAATTGAAGCTGAAATGTCAATTACAGAAAGAAAAAAAAAACTTTCTGCAAGGAAAAAAAGCAGAAAATTGATTTTAAACAGAATTCCTTGAGAGCCTTTCAAACCCTTATCCTAGACCATGATTATATCTCAAGCAAAACTTTTTAATTTACTTTAGCTGCCTCCAAAGATTCTGACACTACTCTGGATACACTGACAGCTCCTAGCCAAACCTCCTGCCTCAATAATGATCATCCTTATCTCTGGCACCTTATTCTTCTCATTACATAGCAGGATCCTAGATGATGTCAACTATTCATTATACTGTACACTTATAAGGGCAGGGCCTGTGTCTACCTTATTCTTCCCTTAAGCTCCCACACTTACCATGGAGGAATACGTTAAGTCAATCAACTCTTTCCTCAATCTGTACCTAGTTTACAAATTAAATTTTTGTTTTGTAGGCATTCAATAAATACTGGGTGAACAAATGAATACACCACACTTATTACCTTAATTACCATTTATACACGCAAAACATAAATCTATCCTTCAAAATTTACTATCCCAATTCACTACCACGTGCATTATTTTTTCCATACTAGTCTTATGCATGCAATCCTTTCTTTTTATTCCTACTGCATTTTTGTCAAGCACTTTTATTACAGTTAAACTAGTTCAATTTCTGCCCTCTAGTCTACTCTGCACTTCTACAACCATTGTTCTTAAAGATCCACAGTTTACCATTGTCTGAAAGAACAAGTAATGCTCTCCATCCCCTACTTCACGGTATTTTACCAGATTAAGAAGTGACTTCTCATTTGAGTTATACCTCTCTATACCTCTTCTACTGCCCTTCTCCATACCAAGTGAGATTCAAACTGTTTTACTTCTATCCTTTAAATATCTCCAAATATCCCAATTTCTTCAACGAGCTTTTTCAGGCTGACCAATAAAGAACTAAGAGTTCTTCCCTCTGGCTATTAAGACTGGAAGTTTTTTTGGTTACTTTTCTCAGTTCTCCTCCCTCCTCCCCCATTTTACTCTTGTCTCTTATCACTAAATTACTTTGTAAAATTGTATTTAACATAAATAGCTATTGTCTCTTCATTAAAAAGTACATTATTCCACATCTATATATTCTTATCTATATCGTACTCATCCTTCAGTTATCTTCTTAAATATCACTTTTTCAGAAAAGCCTTCCTTGTTCTCCCTCTCATCTAAGACTAGCTGCTGTATTCTCCAGAGTACCTTGTAAATTCATCTCTGTAACATTTCTAGTACCTGTCCCCTTCCATCTATTTAGGCTGTGAGCTCAACGATATTATTTTATTCACGACTGTATTCCAAGCATCTTTCACAGGGTCTGATAAATAACAAAAACTTAAGAAATATTTGGTGACTAGTTGACTGATTATTTCATTTAAGAACTGTCTTAAGTATGGAATGGACCTACTAGGTTATCTTCACAGTCAATTAGATGCTTGATGGACATTTTCAATACAGAGACAATTTCTCTTTAAAAATAAAGACTTAAAAAGAGAGACAATTGTAATAGTCAATTTAGGTCAACATTTAAACAATGGCGTAATTTCAAATTATTTTTATTAGCTATTCAATGCTTCCAGTGAAAAATAATAATCCCAAAACCACCTTAAAAATTAACATTTAAAATTCTATTGAAATTTATATTCTAACACAGATTTAGCTATAATACTGAAAACATTATTAGTCATTAGAGCAGCATTTACATATGTTACCTACCATATGTGACATTGTGATTTAACTCAGCTCTTCGTAAGGATTCATCGAGAACATCATACATTAATTCACTTGTCCTGTTTAAAAGATATTTTATTTGCAGTAGAATTATAGTATTATAACCCAATAAAACATAGTTTTTCAAACTTCTCTCTCTTTAAAACTGAGGATCTACAGAAAAGAAGTGAAAGAAATTCATTTTATGAATTGGGAATTTCACTTCTTAAAGATTCCATTTGTTCTTTTTCATGAGTTTAACTTCCTGCTTTATCAAAGCTGAGTAGTCAATGAAGAGATAAGTCAATCAACTCTTTCCTCAATCTGTACCTACTTTACAAATAAAGTTTTTGTTTGGTTGAACATGCTATCTTTTATAATTTTCTTCGTAATATAATATTTCTACCTGTTTAAAGTTACTACATTAATACTTCACATAACCAGATTACTCCAGACAGTATATTATCTGTATTTCAAACACTTAGTTTTTAAAAAATATTCAAATACTAGTCTTTCTTTGAGTAGTACCAGGTTCATCAGAAAGAAAATTTTAACTTTCATTTATGTTAAAGAAATTATATTTTGTGGAATTAACAGATTAAAACCATTCCTATGTCTTTATGGTCACTGATTACAGTTATAGTTACTGGGTTGAGGTAGATACTATACAAAAATGCAGTGTTTTATAGAGCCCTAGCACTCTGCCACCAAGCCTTTTCTCCAAGGAAAAGTCCTCTCCAAGAGGCCAATGTGAAAACTATGGCTTCTCAGCTGATATTTTTGTATGTTTTGTAAACTCAAAAAGCACTAATAGAAAAAAGCACCATCAACACAGAATACTCAGGGACTTCCCTGGCAGTCCAGTGGTTAAGACTCCACGCTTCCAATGCAGGGGGCACAGGTTCAATCCCTGGTCGGGGAACTAAGACCCCATAGGTCACGTGGCGTAGCCAAAAAAAAAGTAACAACAACAACAGAAAAAACCCCGACCCATAAAATACACAGTTGTTTCTTGCAGAGAAACTACACTATAAAACAAACAAAAAGATGAAAATAATCTGGGGCTATACAAATTACATATCATGTATGTTACAACTTTCTCAGAAAATGTCTTTTTTTTCCAAATATACAGCTGTAAAACTCAATATGAAATGCATGTATTTCTATTGCATCTTAACTAAAGTATAAATATCCAGTGAGAATCCCGAACCATATCTAAAATTCCTCATTTTATTATGTAAGCATTTCTTCCACAGACAACAACCATATAGTAGACATTACAAATCCTTCCCTCCCCAAATTTGGTAATACTACACTTAGATTATGGTATAGTTGCCCAATTTTAAAAGCCAATGTCTGGCATAAGAGTCATAATTAACCACATGAAATGTGGAAACATTTGCAGACATGATTGAGCTAAATGTTAATAACCTAAGAAGCAGAATGCTATAAAACACAAGGAAATATTCAAACAATAGATATAAAAGACCATAAATATAAGAGATTTTTCCAGTAAGTTAATTCTTTCAATTAAATACATTAGAATCCTGTTATAAAATAACTTAACATTTTTACTTTGCCACATTGAGCTAATCATAACTTAAGAAATATACGTTAACATAAAATCTTATTAGAGTTCAAACAACAAAGGAGGGAACGAACATTCTAATGTTCCATAACATTATAAGAGAGTTCTACTCTTTATTCATTTAATTAAGCCTAATTTCTATTCAACTGAGCTCTCTGAACTCTATTCAACATACTCATCTTTGTACATATTCTTCAAATTCATCCATGAAGGAAAGAAGGAAGATAATGAGTTAATGAATTTAGTAAATTCACTAAATGCCTCCAAAGTTACTTCTTGACAACATATGATGGCATTAAATCCTTTTGGACCAGTGAGATCTGAATGCATTACTATGAAATTCATGGTTTTAAAACAGAATTCTAGTGAACTCCAACTAGAGCTCCACAATAGGACAAACATTTCCAATGTGTGTGTCTACTCCATCAACTCCAGGTTTCCACCCTAGGTTTCAATCAAGGTTGAGATTCATAAACATAGAAAAAAGTAAAATAGCAACACCAAGAGTGATACAGCCCAGTTAGCGCTCATCAGGAGCTCACCAAAGACGGATGCTGACATGACACTGAGGAGACATTACTAGGAGCAATAATAGCCTAGAGGACAATCCCTTAGTAAAGTGAGACTAAAGAATTAGCATATAGGAGTTCCCTGGTGGCGCAATGGTTAAGAATCCGCCTGCCAATGCAGGGAAGCCCTGGTCCGGGAAGATCCCACATCCCGCAGAGCAACTAAGCCCGTGCGCCACAACTACTGAGCCCGTGGGCCCTAGAGCCCGTGCTCCACAAGATAAGCCACTGCAATGAGAAGCCCATGCACTGCAACGAAGAGTAGCCCCCGCTTGTGGCAGCTAGAGAAAAGCCCACACACAGCAACGAAGACCCAATGCAGCCAAAAATAAATAAAATTTTTTAAAAAAGGATTAGCATATAAATGCACCCTACTGTATAAAACAAAACCACGTCTCTAAAGTCAGAACCTGATCAGTAGTATTTTCTCAAGACAGAAACACATCAGGGGCTCAAGCCATGGTCCTTGCTCTCAAGGGGACCAAATCTAGTTGCTCTTGAACAGTTTAAAAAAAAATTCTTAAATAAAAATAACAGGTGTGCACACATGCACACACAGAGAGAGAAAGAATGATAAAGCAAATACAAATAATTGATGAACAGAGGTAGAGAGAGCTCCCTGTACTATTCTTGGAATTTTTCTGTAAGCTTGAAAAACTACAGCAAAATTAAAAGTTACAAAAATATATGTAACTGGAAAGGCACCCATAAAGTTTAATAAAATTACTACCTAAAAGAGTAATTCAAACAAATGAATTGTTCCAATTAGAGCAACAGGGTAAGCAAACTATAGTCTGCATGCCTAATCTGTCCAGATGCCTGTTTTTGTATTGGCTACAGGCTAAGAATGGTTTTTACATTTTTAAGTGGTTGAAAAAAAATCAAAAGAATAATATTTCATGACACAAAAATATTATATGAAATTCAAGTTTTAATGTCCTTAAAGAGTTTTTTTGGAACATAGCTGTGCACATTCATTTACATATTATCTATGGCTGCTTTTGAGCTGTATACAACAGCAGAATTAAATGGTTGCAATAGACAACATATAGCCCATAAAGCCTAAAATATTTATCTGGCCCTTTATAAAAAAGTTTCCCAAGCCCCAAACTAGAATGGTTAAGAAAGTTTCATGGAACATATGGAGCTTCAAAGGTATCTTGCACTGTGAGTAGGACTGAGATAAGCAGAGAGCCAGGATTATCCCAGCAGCCTGAATTTTTACACTTCTTATAGTGGCTTATTTATCACTATTAAGTCAATTAAGCATTGGGAGAAGCTGGTTTATCATGAAACCTCTAGATGACTAAAGCCTATCAAATTTACCTAGAATAGTTTACCTTTGATCATCTTTTCCTAGAAGTCCTAGTATTCTCAACAGCTGAATTTGTAACCATGGTGCTGGTACACTGTGGTAATTGAAATCTATGGGGAGTTTTCCTCCAACCACTTGCTTCAAAATTGTTACAAAACTCCCAGTCAAGTCTTTATATGCGGATGAATTCTCCTACATCCAAAAAACAAAATAAAACAAAACAAAAAACTTTCTGTTAATAATAATGTCTTAAAAATAAAATAGACCTGGTTGAAATGCCATATAGAATCTAACTTAATACATGCTCACTTAAGAAGTTTCATGTTCATATTTAATGAAACAGTCCTCTAACTGTGTAATTTCTTCCACCATGAAACTCCTCTGGCTACCAGATCCAGAGCTGAATCATGCCCCAAAAAGCTTCCACCACTTCCTACTTCCTATACAGTTTAATCACATTTCCAAAGTTCTATAATTACATCTTAGAACCTTTAAAAGCTAGTATCAGCAATTAAAGCAAAAATTGAAAAGAACCGGCATACTGAAAAAAGCAGTAATACCTCTACTTTTGATGAAAACCAAGGTCTGTTTCCAATCTCTGAATTTTGTTTTCAAGACTTCTTCATGTGATTGAACTAAATATGTTCCAGGTGGAAGAGCATAGCCAAAATTACTCAAACATTTAAAACCCCCAAAATCAGTAAGCCTGTTTATCAAAAATTAATTAACTCTATAGTATTTAAACATATTTGTGATTCTGAATGAGTATGCCTTGATTATCTATCTGACTAATCTCTTGGACTGGGGAAATTTTTTTTATCTTTTTTTTTTAACTGAAGTGTAGTTAACATACAATACTATATTAGTTTCAGGTGTACAACATAGTGATTCAGCATTTATGTATATTACGAATTGATCACCACTATAGGTCTAGTAACCATCTGCCTGAACTGGGGAAATTAAATACACATTCCTCAAAATGAATGTTAGACTCTTCATTGTAATTTTTACTGTGTATCAAGGACAAATTTTTGGAAGGGAAATAATAGCTCTTTCAGAGTTTAATAAATGTTAGAGGAAAAATAAGATTTAATATCAATTATCTATTTATACCACACTATTTTGGAGCACACAATGCATAAAAGTAAAGACAACCTTCAGTTTCTGTAATTTTTAATTGATTTCAACAGCATATTCCATTTCATTATGAGGTATGATGAAATCTCTCACAAGTATATACTTTCAGACACAAAGGGTTTCAGGCAATACACTGGGGATGAATTAGTATAAACCCGTATCATCATTTAGAAAAATTTTTTACCATAGTATCCAACCCCCCTTCCTCCTCCAACACAGTATCAACGTATGGAGTCAACACTGTAGACTATGCTTTGCACGTTCTCCACCAGCTCTCCTCATTTCTATAAACCGTTATATGTATCCCATGAAGTTGTATAAAAGGGAGGTACTGCTTGAAAAACCACAAATCTGAAAATTTCAACCACTTTCCAGAGCTACCATTTTTCCATGCTTCTTTCGTAACATGAAAAAATTTTAGGCATAAAAAAAGACTAAATCTATAATTTGTCTACAACTCATGTGATCAACAACATGCAAAAATTACTATTAAAGTGTCAATAATACAAATTTAAATGTGACTTAAGCATTTTACTGAAAAATATGAGTTTTCTTTTAATTACATAATTACATTTTTCTAATGGTAGCTACTCAGTAACTGCTCAAAATGCCAACTTACCTTAATCATCCTAAGGTATATGTGCAAGGATGCAGCCATGACCCCAACATCTCTGTCACAAAGTGCTTTCCGAAACTTAATATGGATATGCTGTACTTGATTAGGAGCGATGAGATAGAATTTATATAATGCTAGGACAGCTTTTCTTCGTATAATCTCCCTAAAGATAAAAAATAAAATCTAAATAAACCATCTGAATTATCAGGTATTTATTAGTTTGAAAAGATTATGGACCAGATGATTGTAAAATACCAGCTGTTACCTGAAGCTAAAAAGAAAGAATTACACATTTATTATTAATTTTTTATTCTAATCTACCAAACTATAAAAGTAGTTATCTCTAGGAGGTAAGGCCTCAAGAGACTTTAACTGTCCATGTTATATATTTCTCTAGTTATAAAATTTTTTGGTAACAAGCATATATTACTTTTGAAACCAAAACAAACCAGGAAAGATAAATTCCTTAATTCCCTAATTCCATTTTTGAAAGCCATATCTGTAGAAATTGGGAAAAGAATCAACAGTAAATTTAAATGAGTGAGGGGTAATTTCTGCCAATAACATTAAAAGTCTCTTCATCAATATTAAAAGTCTCCTTAACATTCTAGCTTTTCATATTTCTTTTTTTACATCATGGGCAAACATACTCCAAATACTTGAGGGGGGGCAGGGGAGTATAAGGGGGACTTACATTAAAAGATGTTACTCCTCTCCTTGCCCAGCTCATGTTTCAAAAACCTCATTACAATGAAGAGGAAAGTATACACAAGTCTTGCACTTCATTTGTAACAGATAATGTCTAGCACACAAGAAGCAAAAATAAAGAGTTGCTATCCTATGAACATAATGTAGTTTCCAAGGAATTATATTCTTTGTTTTTGTCTCTTATGCCTATTTCCACATAGTTCATATTTGCAGACTATGCTGGCAGTGCCCACAACAGCAGTACAGAAGTATTTATTTTCAGGGTTCCTTAATATGTATTTCTGTTACCTAAAATCATAGAATCTCAAAATTGAGATTATTCAATGCAATCCTCTGTGTTTCACTCAAGAATACTTTTTATAAGATTCCTAACAAATGGCCACCCAGCCTCTGCATTAACAAGCAACCTACTATCTTCCTAGGTAAACTATGTCATGCTGGAAAATTCTTTTCACATAAAAAGAAAAGCAGATTAACAAAAGATTTGCCATTAGTATTAATACTACAGTAACTGTAAACTATATCCCAATGTATTGCTATTGGGCATTAACCAATATGAGTTCCGGGAGAGAGTAAGTAAATGAGGTGAGGAAAAAGAATACAAACTCTGAACAGGCTCAGGAATCCCTCGGTCTGGCCCAAAGTGGTGGCAATAACACAAGATATCAAAAAACCTGGATTTGGGCTGTGAGTTTGGCGTGCTGAAATATAACCAGGGATTCAAAAGTCGAGTCCAAGCCCTGTCTCATAGCTTCGTTGTGATATCTACTGGTTTATCTGTAGCTCTGTCCCACAGCTCTGTCTTTAGCTCTTTACTCCATAGCATGGAGTTAGGTATGGCCATAATTGCAAAAGCAGAGTTTCAGGAAGTCTAAACTCTAACTGGTAGAAGACAGGAAAGGCCAGGACTTGAAATGACAGTAGATGGGAAACAATAAGGAAAAAATTGAAAGGGTAAATGGGAAGCAACAAGGAAAAAATTCAATTCTTTGAAAGATTTCATAAAAAGGATAAGTATGGCTACCACAAAACAGTGGTGGTATGGAAAAATTTCATAAAAATATGCTCTGCTGTGATCATATCAACCTCTAATTATCTAAGAAAGGCTAATATTTTATTTCCAGTAATTAATTTTCCATACCCATCATTTGTTCTAAACACAGATTTGATATAAACAAAATATTACAAGTCTGAAAAGTCTCTGAAGTTATTCCATAATTCTTAGAAAAAGCTATCATTTTTAGCTGAAATATTCATGGTCCGAGATTTAAAGAACACAAACCATAAAACAACATTTTAAAATCTTAGAACACTAAAAATACTGACTTAAGCATATGAAATATTATGAGTAACAAAAGAAATCTTTATCAAAAATGTATATATAACTAAAATACTGCAATCACAAAGGAAAAATGGCAAGTGACTGTAAACTTTTCCCTAACTTTAAAGATTATGAAGTTAAGGGGCTTGGTCAAAAACAAAATAATTCCAAATGTGGTGAAAAAGTAATCAAGTTGAGAAGGAGAGAGTTAAGGAATCATACAAGATTAGCAAAATACAAGTTAAAGCTCATTTGGATATATTCTGCTATAAAACAGAATTTGAAAGTTGCAGTTTTGATATAAAGCATCCCCAATACATTGAAGGTCTATGTTCATAGCACTTGAACCATTTCCATATGTTTTCCATTACTTCACTTTATCCTCAAAACAAATCTGTGAGAACTAAGGATCTTCAACCAACCCCATATAGCCAAGAGAAAAACAGGACCCCTGATGGTTAGCAGAAGTGGGAAGAAAGCCAAGGATTCCTGATGCTAAGCCTCACTGACTCTCAGTTTAACTTTAGAAAGTTGCCTAACATTTTTCTAAACCCACATAAAAATAAAGGACAATAAAGGACAAATATCAGGGATTTTTGCATTATACCTGGCAGTCAAAGAATATCCTCTATCCTGGTAGCATTAAGCTAAAGTTAGAATAAACTTCTGAGTATAAATTTTCCTTTTGAAATACATAGTGTAGACACCTATCCAAAAAGAATTTACTTACTTAGAATGTTGAAGTTTATCTTCTATTAATGGAAGAACAGCTGGAATCATTTCTCGAGGGAAAATCTGGCTGACGATAGTAAGTGCCATACATACTTCTACTAGGTTAGTGCTCTGCAAGTCCTAACATTATTAAGCAAAGAAAACATTCAGTGCAAATTCTGAATCTAGGGACATTGAGCTCAACATTGCAATGGTCCTACACACTTAATAGTTTTCTACTAACTTTTTAAATTAATTTGTACATTTAGGCTTACCTCATATTTTATAGGAATATCCCTGTTTCATTTGCCTTAATAGAGTCAATAGATAAAGATAGCCAAAAGGCAACTGAACTAAAGAAGACTGTATTTCTGTCCTGACAATGACCAAAGTAGTCTTCCTTATTACAGCCTTTAAAACTTTTCTAAACTAGTAACAGAATAATTTTATGAATTCTTCTTGTTAATCAACAATATGAGTGGAAGTTTAAAAGGAAGCAATTCTTGAATATATACGATAAAATGCATGCATTCATATATACTTACATAAGCACAAAGTTTACAAGCCGTTCTAATAGAACCCAAAACTACGTTTTTGAAAGTTTGCAAAAGTTTAAGCTACTAGTAAACTTAAGAGAGTATATAACTTAATTCAGAAAGTATTGATACTACACACCCACACACACACTCTCTCTCTCACATATCAAAAGACTGAAACAAGATAAACATGAAAAAGCTCAACAATTCAATTATACTTCATTACCAATTTTGTTTAAACGTTTAACAGGAAACAATACTGTGTATGCATTAAATTGTGTTTTTATTATCTGTACATTTCAGTTACCCAATTAAACTCTGTTCTTCTTTAAACTGACTTTCAGAATTTAAAAGACTTCAATTATTCAGTTTATATCACATCCCTTTAAAACAGATCCTAGAGAAAAAGACAACAGCATGGAAGATGCATCTGACTAAGAGTCTGGAGATCTGAGTTATAATTCCAACTCTGCTTTTTTTTTTAATGTATTCTTTTATTGAAGTATACTTATTTATAATATTGTATTAGTTTCAGGTGTACAGCACAGTGATTTAGTATTTTTGCAGATTATACTCCACTACAGGTTATTACAAGATAAATGGGTATAATTCCCTATGCTGTCCTTGTTTATCTATTTTAAATATAGTAGTTTGTTATCTATTAATCCCATACTCCTAATTTGTCCCTCCCTCTCTCCCCTTTGGTAACCACAAGTGTCTTTTCTATGTCTGTGAGTTTGTTTCTGTTTTGCATATACATTCATTTCTATTATTTTTTAGATTCTATATATAAGTGATATCATACAGTACTTGTCCTTCTCTGACTTATTTACTAATATTTAATTTCAATAGTATTCTCTAGGTCCATCCACATTGCTGCAAATGGCAGTATTTCATTCTTTTTTGTGGCTGAATAATATTCCATTGTGTATATATACCACATTTTCTTAATCCAATTGTCTGCTGATGGGCACTTGGGTTGCTTCCATGTCTTGGCTACTGTAAATAGTGCTGTTATGAACACTGGGGTTATGTATCTTTTTAAATTAGTGTCTTCATTTTTTCCAGATATATACCCAGGAGTGAAATTGCTGGATCATGTGGTAGTTCTATTTTTAGTTTTTTAAAGAACCTCCATGCTGTTTTCCACAGTAGCTGACCAATTTACATTCCCACCAACCGTGTACAAGGGTTCCCTTTTCTCCACATCCTCACTAACATTTGCTGTACACAGACTTTTTCATGATAGCCATTCTCAATGAGGTGATACCTCATTGTGGTTTTGATTTGCATTTCTCTAATTAGTGATGTTGAGCATCTTTTCATTGCCTGTTAGCTATCACATGTCTTCTTTGGAAAAATGTCTATTCAGGTCTTCTGCCCATTTTTTCATAGGGTTGTTTGTTTTTTTTTGATATTGAGTTGCATAAGCTGTTTGTATATTTTGAATATTAACCCCTTGTCGGTCCCATGATTTGCAAATATTTTCTCCCATTTCATAGGTTGTCTTTTTGTTTTGTCCATTATTTCCTTTGCTGTGCAAAAGCTTTTAAGCTTAATTAAGTCCCATTTGTTTATTTTTGCTTTTTCTTCTGCCTTAGGAGACTGATCCAAGAAAATATTGCTACAATTTATGTCAAAGAGTGTTCCACCTATGTTCTCTTCTAGGAGTTTTATGGTTTCAGGTCTTACATGTAGGTCTTTAGACCATTTTGAGTTTATTTTCGTTAACTCTGCTTTTTTAAATGAAACAATAATAACAGCAGCAGTAGCAACTATTATTCTCTACAGTGTTTCATTTAACCCTAACAACTTGGTTAAGTTCTGTTATTATCCTCATTTTACAGATGCAGAAACTGATATAAAAGATCTTTCTAAGCCCATTCTATAAGCCTACCTTCTTTGAAAAATACCTAATTTAATATGATTGATGAGAAATGTCAGATGCCTGAAGGAATAATTTAAGACTTCATATTAACCAGCATACAATACAATACCTTTACAACTGTATTCACAAGGAGAAGCAACAGTTCATGACTTTCATGTAGAAATAAAGAAACAGCCAAATAACCTATAAAATTTGAGAGGAAAAGTCTCATAATTACCTGCCAAAAATTAACATTTCCCAAGAAGTTAAACAAAGCAATAATATATTCCAAAATTTAAGTGTCAAAGATACCAGTTACAGGTAAATATAAAAACAAATAGTAAAATAACAAGGTTCAAAAAATTCAGTAAGGAAGATTTCAGATGTTCTTCATCCTGAAGTCTTTCACAATTAGGTATTTCACAGGATATAACTGAAATGGAAAAGAGGCTATGTGCACCAACTTAAAGTCCTGTAAATGACATTAGGAATATATGCCTTCCATCTTCTGTGCAAATCTCTACACAATCAATCAATACATTTTCTGTCTTATAGCCAAATATAATTATTTAAAAACTAATAGCTACTACAGTTAATAAATAGTGAGTTACTAGCTATTTGTATTACTGAATGAGCTACCTGATACCAATCCATATGATGTAAATCATCTATTAGCCATAAACAATACCTTATTTTCTCAATTTGATGATAAACTATTGAATGAATAAAAGTTGTTGAGGAAAGAAACAATGTCTACCACATTAAATGTACTCATTTACTTAAGTACTTTTATTTTAATAATATCAAAATATTAAAAAATACAACTTAAGATTGAGGAAGTACATTAATACACTGACAAATACCATGTGCATGGAATCTAGATGCCCCATGTCATTTTCCTGTCACCCTTAATTTCGATAACATTTGTTAGACAGTTACTGTGGGTTAAGTACATTACAAGCCTCACCTCATTTAATCCTCACAACTCTATGAGGCAGATATTATTATTATCCCCAATATAATAACGAGGCCCCAAAAGGGTAACTGCCCAAGGTCTACAGCTACTACATGGTGGAGCCAAGACTACAACCCAGCCAGTAGGAGTTAGTTCATGTTTTTAACCCCTATGTTATTCTGTCTCTCACACAGTCTACTTTAAGACCTTATTCCCTGACTCCCATCCCCATTGTTTTTCATTCTTCTCAATTCTTCCAGCCTTTTTATTAGGAATTCTAGTGTTAACTATCCCTATTACTACCCAGCATCCATAATGTGTCTGTCGGGGAAGATGGGAAAACTGTTAAAAATTTCCTGTTCTCATAACCAAGGAGTAGCAGCATGACCCACAGCAACATCTTCACTGAAGGTCAGAGGAGCAGAGCTATCACTCCCACAATCAGGAGAGACAAAAAAGAACAAACCAGCACCAGGAAAGAGAAAAACCCTAGACAGCATTTAAAGCAGAAATTAGGTCTTATCAGATTACATCTGTTCAGCTAAGATATCACCCCCTCTCAAGTCACCAATATCAAGATACAAGAAGATCAACAAACTAATCCAAAGACCACCTCAAAACTTTATGAAATCTTAATTCTATCTGTTAAAAAGAATATCCTGTTTTGACAATCAGGGAAAACAAGGAAACTGTTTTGATAATCAGGAAACAGGGAAAAAGATATTCTGTGATTCAAAAAATTTTAAAGGTTTCAGGAAAACAAAGAATAACAACTATGATTATAGAATACATTTGATATGACTAAGAGTGAGGTACAGGATAGGAATACAGGCTTTGACTCATAGAAACTTGGGTTTATATTCTGGCTTCACCATTTAGTAGCTCTATGACCTTGGAAAATTGACTTGACCTTTCTAAGCTTCAGTTTTCTCCTCTGTCAAACGAAATAACATCTCACAAGATAAAGCACCTAACATAATTTCTGACTTAGTGGGTACTGAGATTTATTTACTCAGCAGTATTCATGTGAAAAATAAGAATGCATTATCCATCAGAGAAAGCACCAAAGCTAGCCTTAGAAATCTCAGGAGAGTAGATGAGGCAACGGTACTGGAGTAAAGGCATAAAAAATTTAAATGCTATCTTAAAAAAAACTTCCACTCATTAGCACACATAAAGAATATCTGATACCCACATACACGTCTTTCTAGGTGTCAATAAAATACTTTCCTAAGGAAGATCATGAATCTCAGTAAAAATGACTGTGAGGTTTCCTTAGTCACTGTAACTATGAAATAACCCACATACAAGGTCCTTCACTGCAACATTATTTATTAGAGCAAAAAATAAAAACTACCCATATATCCACCAATAGGGACCTAGATGAAAATACTACAGTACGTCCATCCGCCCACTGAAAACTATGCAATTGTATAAAAGTATAAAGATGTCAAAACAAGGTGCGGAGTAATCTCTGTAGCATGCTATCTTCTGTGTAAGAGACAGTATTTGAGTGTGTACTCATGAATTTGCTTGTTTTTTCAAAATGAAACAATGGAAAGATTAATCAGAAACTAATGAAAATAGTTACCCATGGGGTAAGGGGCAAAGCTGGTAGAGGGGTTAGAGATAAAAATGAAATTTCTCTGACTATACCTTTTTATCAGGTCTTAACTTTTGGACCATGTATAAATTACAAATTACATATGTAATTTTTACATATTTTAAAAATAAAATTTAGGGAATTCCCTGGTGATCCAGTGGTTAGGACTCAGTGCTTTCACTGCCACGGCCTGGGTTCAACCCCTGGTCGGGGAACTAAGATCCCACAAGCCACGTGGCGTGGCCAAAAAAACCAATAAAATAATAAAAATAAAAATAAAATTTAATTGAAAATGGAAAAATTACAAGAAAGTCTAAAAAGCAAAATACAGCAACAGATGTACAAAGTATAGACTATCTATGGTTTTCTAAATTTCCTGTTGTTAGGGATCTCAGAATTAGTTTGGAAAAGACATGAAAAGACAAACACCATAAGACAACAGATGGTAGGAGCCACCTGAGAGATCACAGAAGAGTTAAAACTTGATTTGGAATACAGAAAGGGAGAGACAGGATGCCAGAGGACACTCTACTTGGAGGGAAGAATGTAACAAATCTAGAAGACAAAAGAGTATTTTCAGTGGAGTGAGATTCAACAAGTGGAACACTGTGTTCATATAGTCTCAGGGTCTTTACCAAGACATCTCCCACGCCGTGCCCATCATCTGACAGCACAGGTCAATATAACTTGAGAAGAATGTTGGTCCCTGACAACATGACACTATCAACTTCTTTAAATAAAGAACATGTTCTACTCCTATATTATTCCAAAGTGCTTCCTTCTTAAGTTTCTGATATAAAGCTGTACATATATGAATACAAGATTTAAGTCCTTGTTTTCCTAATAGACTTAAAAGGTTGATTATAGAAACAAAATTTTTTAAAAGATACCTCAAATCCTCATAGTTAACAATTGTGAAACTAGGAGCAGGATACCGAAAATTATTCAAGTCAATTTCAGTTTTTATCTATTAAAAAAAAAATCATCCCTTATCATTAAACTGATGAGGTTATACAGACTTTTTAAAATCAGCTTTACTGAGGTATAATTTACATATAAGAAAATTCACCCTTTTAAGTATATAGTTCAATGAGTTTTGACAAAGTCATCTAACCACCATCACAAGAACAGGCAATTTTTCATCTTTTCTATAACTCCAAAATGCTATGAATCAGGAAAATTGATTCCATTTTAGGCTGTGAGTTTTTGAAGTGTTATCTTTTAAAGCTTTGGAAATCACAAGGCAGTGTTCTAAAAACATACTACACACCTGCCACCATTCACTTTATATAACAGCCAGAACTTTAAGGACAACATTAAGTGCAAAAGTCTTAAACACATACATACCTACTCTTTTTTCTAAAAGGTTTCCTTGTTGTGCCAACTTGATTGCATGTATGTAACCAAAGGAAGCATCATATCCAAGCATTTCACAATATATAAGTCTCACCATACATTCCTTCATCATTTTCTGAAAAACAAAATATCCAGTAACAGTATAAATAAATAGAATGCTTTGACTTTTTTTTTAGTATGTTGTAATCATTTAATAGGAGAGTTCTTTAATCCTGGCACTGAAGAAATAACATATATAAATTAACCACCCAAAGTCAGACTTTATAAAGAGTTTCTCCCAAATTTAACTACCAACAGTACACATTTTAGTAAAATTATCTCAATATTTTGTTACTGGCAACAATACAAAATAAATAAAACGTAGCTATTTCTAATTCTAGGTGTCCCTCGCATAAAATGTGGTTATAATGGGACACACATGGTCCTCAGACAAAATTTCACTCGTGGTACTCTAACGTGGCTTCTAGAATGTAGCACATCATTTTAACATACTTTGTCAAATGAAAGCATCCATACAGTTCCCACAAGTTGGTAATAATTTCTGTAATAAAAATATTGTTCACATTTAAAGACTAAATTGCACCTGGAGTTTCTTCAGAATTACTGTGCTATATTATAATAGGCGATAGTTTGTTGTATAAGCATTACTTTTTCAACAATCCTCACAACTATTATGATTTCATTAATGGTATAATCATTCCAATATTTAACTTAACTGGATCTTTCAATATTTACAACACGAGCTAATAACTTGTTTTAAGAGATTCTATAAATCTGTTTTCTTAGTATGAGAATATCTGCATCAATATTTATAGCAAATTTTAATCAACAATTTAAAATATAAACGTGTTTCAAAATAAGAAAAGCTCAGACTATTTTAATATCTAAAAATTAATTAGGGTTGATATATTACAGGATTACTGAATCACAAAATGCTTAAGAAACAGTAAAATAAAATGTTTTAAAGAATAACATTTAATATTTCATATATATTATATACAGAGAGTAGATTTTATATATATATATACACATGCACACATGTACATGTAAATATGAAGAGTTTAAAAATAAACCATAGGAAAATCTTAAGGGAATAATGTTTAATGATTTAATTTAGGTCCCTTGTGTTTAATAAAAGTTAATCCATCAGCACATTAATTAAAACTACTAAACACTGAGAAAACAAGCTTAAAGTATACTGGAATCCTCTTCAAAGGCTTCTACATCAATGAGTGAAAGTGTTCATTTAAGCCATTAAGTATCAACCCTGATTTTGTAACATTTTATCTCATAGTTTTTCAAAAGTCATTACGGACTTTGTTTAAGTAAAATTCTATTGCATTTACATTATTATTCTCTTATTTTTGGAGAAGAAAATGCTTTTCCCAATGCAGGAATTCACTCTAAAAGATTTCTTTAACAAATTATAATCCAACTTCTACATGACCACCTCAGGGACAGACTATTCTGTAAAGTATGCCCAGAGCTGGATGGCCATAAATATTATAAAATCTTCCTTCAAACTCTGGCTCCCTAACTTCTACCTACTTATCTTAATTCTGTAAACACATGAAAACTGTATTTACTGATGCCAATTATAGAAAATGGAAATCAAACTAAATGAAAAGAGAAAAGCTATTTCTCTGTAACATTTCTATCAAGTATCATAACACACTGATTTTATACATACACATAAAAACATATACATATCTATACATACACATACATATACACATACACGCATAGATCACATTAACTATGTTTTGAGTTTCATTTGTCCACATATTATTATGACCATAAAAGGAAATATAAACATTCTCTCAGACTTTACAAGTGTTATTCACATACATAATCATGTATTCATGCAAAATGATCACCACAATATTTTTATTAGAAGTGTATTCCACAGCAACTTACACAAAGAAGGCACTCACAAAATATTTGCTGAATAAACGTTGCTTGGAAAAATCTCATTATCTGAAACCACATAAAAATTAAAAGAAAAAAAAAGTAGGCCTTAATCTAACTATGTAGGGACAGTCCCACAGTCCTACAGTGGTCTGCATATGGTGGTCACAGCTTAAATAGCTGCTGAATGAATGCTGTTTGAAAATCAAATTATATGGAACCAAGTTTTTTAAAAACTAGATCCTGATTTAGCTATTGTGCATTATACTCAGTTTTACAGCAAGAAAATCACTTTTCTACCTTGTCAGCCAACCTATATTCCAAGATATAACAGTAAAATGAGAGATTTACAATATATCAATTCAGGTCTGAAAATACTATTTTATTTTTTACTTTTTTTTTTTTTTTGGCTGCGTTGGGTCTTTGTTGCTGTGCGCGGGCTTTCTCTAGTTGCAGCGAGCGGGGGCTACTCTTTGATGCGGTGCGCAGGCTTCTCATTGCAGTGGCTTCTCTTGTTGCAGAGCACAGGCTCTAGGAGCGCAAGCTTCAGTAGCTGCAGCACGCAGGCTCAGTAGTTGTAGCACGTGGGCCCTAGAGCAGGTGGGCTCAGTAGTTGCGGTGTGCAGGCTCTAAGGCATGCGGGCCTCAGTAGCTGTGGCGCACGGGCTCAGCAGTTGTGGTGCACGGGCTTAGCTGCTCCATGGCATGTGGGATCCTCCCGGACCAGGGATGGAACCCATGTCCCCTGCATTAGCAGGCAGACTCCCAACCACTGAGCCACCTGTGAAGTCCCCTGAAAATATTATTTTAAATGATGTGTCCTAACCTTCTCCCAGTGCACAACATTAAAACAATAGGATCAGCCTTGGGGTCCCAGGAGTTCCACATTTATGTAACTATCATCATGTTGGCACTGAACTGACAACAGTCAAGCAAGCAAGTCTTGCTCTGGTGCAGCCAGTCAGCAATAAAAGGCTAAAATTAATGTTTGACTTGTTACCATCCATAACTGATCTTGACTGTGATAAATTAGATTTTAGCAACTGATCAATTAATGCCACTACTGAGTCCGCAGTGGACCAGATTTCAAATTCAAAATGTGCTGGCACTGACTATGCAAACTTACCAGAGTTGTAGTAGGAGCAGAAACAGTTGCTTTCAGATTACTCAGCTCCTGCTGGATTAATTTCTCTTCCTCCTGAAAAAATGAAAATATTTGAATGCATGAATAACCATCTTTTTAAACTGTAACAGTATTTTTAAAGGGAAAAATATAACTTATAATATTTTCAATAAAAAAGATACATTATTTTAAAGGAGAGTTACAAAAATTATGCACTTAAGATTTGCCTACAGGCATTTCTCCAACTCTCAGAATCATTCCTGGAAAGAATAAATATTTTCATGCTAACTCACCATTCCTCTTTTCTTCACTCAGTTACTGTCCCCTTAAGGACGGGTTAGCAGAAAACCTTTTTTAAAAAAAATTAACAGTGGAGAGAAAGTAGAAAAGCAATTCTTTATGTAGTGGCCCAGAATAAGGTTCTCACACCTTCTCCTTCTTCATGGAATACAGAAACAGAGTAAGAAGGCAGAAACAGAAACTGTTCTTTTCCCCTTAAACTATATTCTTCTTCCCTATCCTTTTTTCCTTATTCTTTGCATCCTTTCCCTCACTTCCCATCTCTCTCTCACACACACACAATAAATACACTAATATGGTTACTTCTACTGTCTGCATTGTATTTCACCTCCTTAAGCACTTGAAAATTGACCCCAATTTTGACGAATATCATGCTATTTTTAAATTACACATTGAATTAGCAGGTGCCCATTAGGTGACTAACCAAGAATTAACAATGCTAGTGAAGTACAGCTACATTTAGATACCTTATGTACAGTTTCAAACTGCAGTTTAAAACCAAAAGTATTGGGCTTCCCTGGTGGCGCAGTGGTTGAGAGTCCACCTGCCGATGCAGGGGACACGGGCTCGTGACCCGGTCCGGGAAGATCCCACGTGCCGCGGAGCGGCTGGTCCCGTGAGCCATGGCCGCTGAGCCTGCGCGTCCGGAGCCTGTGCTCCGCAACGGGAGAGGCCACAGCAGTGAGAGGCCCGCGTACCGCAAAAAAAAAAAAAAGTATTTTATTTCATTCACCCACCTCATAAAAACTAGCAAAGGACAAAATTTTAAGACAAGCAATATCAAGTCTACAAATAATTGTTTTTTTGTGATTTTTGAATGTGAAGCAGATCCTCCCCAGTACATCATCTTATTTCAGTTTAAAAAAGAACGTTTTTAAACCCTCAGAGCACTTTGAAGAAAAACCTTCTCTCTTTGTCTTTTCTTCTCTCCTGACACATATTTCATTGTATACTGCTCACAGCTGTCTTAAGCCCAAGATGAAGGACCAATTCCTTGGGAAAAGGAAATGTGTTTTATACTGTTTCTTTAGGGTCTAACACATAGTCTCTTCCACAAATATCTTTTGAACAGATTTTGACCTACCACATTATCTTTCTTTAAGATACAAAATCCTTGAAGCTTTGAAAAGTCTGCGGGAACTTAAAAACTTCCATTATAACTGCTCGTTTTCAAAGCCCATCTGAGGCAGAGACTTACTCAGCAAATAGTGCATTTGGAGAGAATTATGCTTTTTCTTTGCCCAACCCGTGGGTCTAACCTAAGAACCTCAAGCTCCCCAAATATACTGAACAACAGGTTCAAATGGCAGGGTCTGTTCTAGTGTATGACATCTAGCAGTTCAAAGAACCGGGAGCCAGAAACAACCCGAGTGCGAAAGAAACTTTTTAGAAGAATAATGCTGACATTTCCAGGGCACCTGGTAGTTTCACACGCTCGATGTCTCATCTAACTCTCGAAACAACCTATGAAATATGTATTGGTACTCCGTTATGTCAACGTTCAAGAAACACACGGAGACTCAAAGATTAAAGATATCTGCCCCAGATAATAATGAGTCAGTGTCAGGGCCAACCGTGGAAACCCGGCCTCCCAGCTGTCAGTCCGGGCAGCAAAGTGACGCTTCCGGACAGACGCCAGGACCGACAGACACACACGCCTCATGGCCAGCCCCGGAGGCTCGCCGCCGGACCGGAGCCTCCCAGCGAGGGGCCTCCCCGAGGCGCCCCTGACCTCCCGGCCCGGAAAACACCTACGTGCTTGGAGGTGAGAGCGGTGATGCCGCGGACCAGGCCGCCCAGTCGGGAGGAGAAGGACGCCTTGGCGGCCGCGGGCCCGCTAGCCGACTGGTTCTGCAAGAAGAGTCCCGGCAGCGCCGTCAGCGTCTTCTCCACAATGTCGCTCATCGCCGCCGCCGCCACCCGCGCTCCGCTCGCCGCCCGGCCTCATGCCCAGGCCCTGCCCCGCCGCCTCCCCGGCCACCGTAGGCACTTCCTGTTTGTCTGAAAAAGAAATCTTTATTCGCGTTCTGCGCGGACAAGCACAGTGTCGTTCTAGAGAGACGCCGCGTGAGGGCGCGAGAGTCGGCAAGCGAAAGACAGCGCGCCAAGCCTGTGTGGACGTGGTCCTTCTGTGGAGGAGCAGAAGGGCCGGACGCTCCCGGTTTCGACGGCAACCCCTGCGTCCCGAGCTTCTCTGGGTCCTCCTGAGGTAGCCGCTGCCGTCTGTCCCTCTTATACTTCGGCCGCAAAAGTCTCCCTTTCCCTTTGGCCGCCTCCGCGCTGCCCTAGACCGCACGGGGAGGTGGCCATTCCTGGCCCTCTCTCGGCGGCCTCTCACTGGGGGACTACCAGCAATCCGCCCACCTCCCTCGGCCGCACTTGGAGGGGCGGAATCGTTGCTGGGCCCCGGCGCCACGCGCGGCCCTGGCCCTGGCGGTGCCGGGGACCCTGGTGGTGTTGAATGACGGCGCGGCAGTCCTGTGGATTCATCCTACTGGGTTCAGCGCCCACCGCGTACGGGGGACTCTTGGCCACTGTCTCTTCCCCTCCGACCCCCCCCTTCTCCTGGGGTTTGGGGAGGCAGCCAGGAAGGGGAAGTGGTCGGTTGGCCACCCCCGCGCCCCCCAGACCCCCCTGCTCCTGCCCAGCAGGTCGCAGTCCTGTCCTCTCACAACGCTCTGTTCTTTTCCATTCTAGAACTGATGGCAGTTGCCACTACATAAATATGTATCTCCCTGTCTTATTCATTGCTATCACCTCAGCTTCCATCTAGAACAGAATCTAGTGCAGTGCTTTTGAGAATGTGGTCTGGTGAGTTCTGAAGGAGACCCTAACAAAGGATCCAGGAAGTCAAAATTATATTCATAATATTACTTAAATGTTATTTGTTGTTTTCACTCTTATCCTCTCCAGAGCATATAGAGAAGTTTTCAAGATAGAGGACTTAGAACCTCTCAACTGACTGATGAAGTGTGTGCTTGAGTACTACTCTTGTATTTTATAGATTCGTCTAAGGTTTAGGGTATAAGTTTTCAGAGTTTAACTCAGTTTGTCCTCAGTACTTCTAGTGTGTTCTTACAAGCTATCTTTATGATGGAATAAAAATTCATATTTTAAGGCAAGATGAGAAATTTAGACATAAAATTTTTCTCCGCCCATTTGGGCCTCCTCTCTCCCCTCTAGTGTTCATTGTGTCTGTGCATCATGCATTAACCAGACTTCCCCAATGGCAGAAGTGTCTGCTCAGCCGTAAAGATCAGTTTTCCTTCTTCTGGCTCCAGCCATGTAACTCTTAGAAGATAACATTCCTTTCTCAATCCTGTAAGGGGTCACAATGCTCCACCACTCACCTTGTATGTGCAGACAACTTTGGTGGACTTTATGTACAATGCCAGTATATCATTTCCCTTAAAGATAGCGGGTGGTGCACAACAGGCTGGTCAGATAACCTGGGGAGATACTGGGCCACACCTAGTGGAAGTTCTTAGCTTAAATATTTACTTAGAACGTTACTTGTATTCCACGTATTTTATAAGATTATTGTTTTTTTGCATCACCAAATGTGTGGCTGAGCCTCAGATAAAAATGATGATTAGGTGATTTGAAACTATTGGTCAAATATATAGTCCTATAAGATCAATGATCTTAATAGTGTAACTCCAAATATGGGAAGAAGCAACAAGATGGAACCGCTTCCTGGACCGTAACAGACTAGTAAGACAGGCAGTACAGAGGCTTTTGATTACTGTTAACAGGGCCTAGTCCAGTAATATAGCACAGTGAGGGGCATATCAATGAAATCCTTGTCTGACCTGGGAATGAGCATTCCTAGCACCATGGGACAAATTGGTCATGAAATGACTCCCAAACCTTAGTCAAAAGTAAGACCAAAAGGGAAGGGATTGTAAAATAAAGAATGTTACCTATCATCCAGTTATACAAAAATCAAGTCATCAGCCACTGTAGTTGCTGACCTACAATATACCCTGAAAAGAATTCAGCATGAGGCACTTTGTGCTCTGGAAAACTGACAGAAATGGCCCTCAGATAGTTAGATATTTTTAGGAGAAAATTTTATGAACCCAGCATCTTCTTATACTTAGAAAAGTACTAAAACCATTAACTAATATATCTGTTCCTCAGAAATAGCAGTAACCTTCTACCAAGGTGAATGAATGCTTAATTGCACATACCCCTACGCCAAATCACATATACTACTGGCCTCCCCCTCTACCTCTTCAGAACAGTTCTCAGAGCTCTCTGAGAGACTGTCTCCCAGGTTGTAATCCTCAGTTGGCTCGAATAAAAGTTTCCATTTCTCCCTAAGAAAGAATTTTGTCAACATTCATTTACACTTATCTGTCCTCATTTAATCATCTAATAAATGGTATTTTGAAATCCCTAAATTCTCCTTGTGCCTGTGTAGAAACACAAGAAAAAAGTTCATTTTGTTTACTTGTTTTGCAAGAATATTTTTAATTTATTGAAAACTTTTCTAAATATTTAAATTTTTTCTAAAACTTACTTTTTAGAATTTAATCTTTTATTCTAAAATAAAATTTTGTTTATAATTTTTTTTTATTTTAGATTCTTTCATTGATTCACAAGAGGGAGATTAGAAGACCTGCTTTCTCAATCTCCCACATCTAAAGATGCTGAAAAATATGATATTGACATCAATATCAGAGGATTCTGACTCAGGTAAAGGGAATAATCTGGGTGAAACTGTAAATAAGAAAGGAAAATGTGACAAAAGCTTATTTCTTTTCCTTGATGTTAGAGATGTTAATGATTTACCTTATTTTGTCTTATTCAACAGAATATTTTCAAGCACTATTATGGTGCCAGGTAGGTTGAGGCATCATTTTGAGACCAATCATTCAGAGTTTAAAGAAAATTGAATATTTAAAATATGATAACCTAAAAAAAATAAAAAATTAGAAAACAATAAAAAATTAAAATGATAACCTCTTTAAAAGCCAAACCTTTTTTTGTTACCACTTTTCAAAGTACAAATGAAAAACTAGCTGAAGCATTTTACAGGTTAAATTATTGTATTGCACTGGCTGGAGAAGGGCATACGATAGCTGAAAGACTAATAAAGCCTGTACATTACTGGGTGAATGTCTGCTAGATGAAAAATCAGTCAAAGAAATCATGGCAGTGCTGTTTTCCAAAGATGCAGTAACTCACCAAATTAGAAATTCCGTTGCAAACATAAAGACTGGGTGAATATCCTATCTGCAGAATTATACTGTCTTTAAGATGGACAAAAATTATATAATTATAGATGTAGCTAGTCTTGTTGCTTTGCTTGTATCTGTCAGGTGGCAGCACCAGCTAATACTTGAAGATCTATATAAATGCCTGGCAAAAAACTAAAGTGATGCTGAAATAAAACATTGTACAATTTCTTTTAATCTCATAGTTTATTCTGGAACAACTGTGCTGATATTTGCACTAATTGTATAAAAGCAATACTGGGCAAAACTGCTGGCACCTTGGCACAAATCAAGGCAGAGGCTCCCAAATGTACTCTTCACCACTGACACTCACATTTTTAAAAAAAGCCAGTTTCACAAAAGAATATCTTCAATGAAGCAGTAAGAATTTTTAATTTTATTAAATATCAACCCTTGAGTACATTTCTTTTAAATACTGTGTGTGACAAAATGGGGAGTACACATAAAGCAGTTCTGACATGTAACCAAGGTTTCTCAAGGAAAAGCACTGGTGCAGTTTGACTTGAAAGCTGAACCAGCCACTTTTCTTCATGGAATACAATTTTAATTGAAATAATGATTAACAAACAATGGCTTTCTTGAAAATGAGCAGTGAGTCTGTTGCCTCAATAGAAATAACTGACAGTATTCATTACCACTAATAAAATTCAAACTTTCAAGAGTAAATTGGAATTTTGAAAAATGTGTATCTGCTACCAGGAGTCTGGTAATCTCTAATATGTAAGAACTGTTCTGACAAGATCAGTGGTGATATTAATGAATGTTATTTTTTGATAGTGTATAATTAAAAGTGTCAGTATTCAGAAGATCTGTATAACTCAATGAAACAATATTTTCCAAATGATCAATGCATGATGTTATAAAATTATACATGGACTGAAGATCTATTTAAAATGAATATAGACCAATGATTTTAATGTAACCCTATACAAAAAGTTCACTGATATAATTTAAAATTGCAACAAACCTTTAAGAAACTACTGCTTGTTGAGTTTTGGTATGGTATCAAAGAAGAACATCCACAATTAATTGAAAAGGCTATTAAAATACTGTTTTTTCCTGAACTACATATCTGTGTGAGACCAGGTTTTCTTCATAAACTTCAAACAACATACCAACCTGTGGTAGGCTGATACTGTCTCCCAAGGATATGGTCATATCCTAATCTTTGGACTTTGTGAATGTTATCTTATATAGTAAAACTTGCACAGATGTGATTAAATTAAGGATCTTGCAACAAAGAACTTATCCTGGATTATCCCAGTGGGCCCTAAGTGCCATCATAAATGTTGTTATAAGAGAGAGGCAGGGCTTCCCTGGTGGCACAGTGGTTGAGAGTCTGCCTGTCAATGCAAGGGACACAGGTTTAAGCCCTGGCCCGGGAAGATCCCACATGCCGCGGAGCAACTAAGCCCATGCACCACAGCTGCTGAGCCTGAGCTCTAGAGCCCGCAAGCCACAACTACTGAGCCCACATGCCACAACTACCGAAGCCTGCGCACCTAGAGTCCGTGCTCCGCAACAAGAGAAGCCAGCACAATGAGAAGCCCCTGCACCACAACAAAGAGTAGCCCCCACTCACCGCAACTAGAGAAAGCCTGCGTGCAGCAACCAAGACCCAACGCAGCCCAAAAATAAATAAATAAATAAATTTATAGAAAAAGAAAAAAAAGAGAGGTAGAGGGAGATTAACCGCCACACACAAAAGAGGAGAAATTGATATAAAGACAGAGGCAGAGATTGGAACAAGTAGTCACAAATAATGCCAGCAGCCACCAGAAGCTGGAAGAGGCAGGAATGAATTTTCCTCTCGAGCTTCCAGAGGGAGTGCTTCCCTGAGCACACCTTGATTTCTAACCAGTGAGACCGATGTTGAACTTCTGGCCTCCAAAACTATAAGGGATTACATTTCTGTTGTTTTGAGCCACCAAGGTAATTTGTTACAGCAGCCCCAGGAAACTATTGCAAACCCCACAGTGATAGATTAAATGCAGAACCAAGCATGCGAGATTCCAGCTGTCTTATATTAAGCCTAACATAAAGCGATTTGCACATTTGTAAACCATTGCTACTTCTCTCACGTTTTTCATTTTGAATATATAGTTGTTTTTTATTTTTTTTATGTTGTTAACATGTAATAGGTTTACTGTTGCTATTTTAAAATCAATAGCTTAGATTTTTCTCAGTTTTACTTTGTTAATTCAGTAAATATCTATAGATATAACCCATGTAAACAAAAGCTTTGTGGGGGGGGGCCCTCAATAATTTTTAAGCATATAGAAGGGTCCTGAAACCAAAATGTTTGAAAACTGCTTACCTAGTACATACTAGGTGCTCAATTATTTGTTGAAATAATCATTATATTTATAATTCAGTCACAACAATCAATATATGAGTATAGGCCAGTGAACAGCAGGAGTTTAGGGGTAGGGTGATGTTTGCAAGGGAAGAAGACAAAAGAGTTCTCAGAAAAAGAAATTGGGGGGGAGAAAAAGACAAAATTGACCAGGTTATGAAGGAATAATTGCTGAAACGACAACCAGAGCTTCCTACCCTGTGGCCCAGGCACAAAGATTGAATACCCACCAATTCCTACTATTCCTCCTCTAGCTTTCACCTCCCGAAACTAAAAGTTGAAAGTAGAGCTAAGAAACAAATGTTGAAAGCCCAGTAGTGAAATGGCTATTAGGAGAAGCTACAGAACTATATGGCAGGCCCAGCTAAGATTTAGAATTATAAGATGTGGAAACTGAAAGAATATTTGGAGTTCATCTATACATCCAATCAGCTAATTTTGTAGAAAAGGATACTGATACTTAGATTTTGGAAGCCACTTGACCAAGGTCGCACAACCTTAGGGGTAGAACTGAAATTACAGCCCTAAATCTAGATTCTGAGCCTGTAATATTTCACCTGTACTTTCATGGTATTGACAGTAAAGAGGTTGTCTGTGGCTTCCTGTCCTGAGACTCTGGCTCCAAGTCCTACCCCAAAATGTAGGGGATATGGATGTTCTTTTTTAAGCTTGTAAATTTAGACTGTATATTTTTCCTGTAAATATGGGCTCTTCTTTCTCCTTTTCCTGTCTCTACCTCTGTCCCAGGTAATTTCACTCAGAATGACATACTGTCACAGGGATTGAACCTATTAAATTAAACCCTCAAGAACTGGATTTCCTCTGTCTCTTCTTCCAGTCAGGAAGGAAGGTGGCTCTCACTGAGCTGAAAATAGGGCAGAGAAGTGACTCAGTATGTTTTAAGAAGGTGCAGTGGTCCTAGGACAGTAGGGGGCAAACTAGTTTATTCCCCTACAGGAACAAACAGGGCTGTCTAAGCAGGGGTGTCTCACCTGAAAATACATACAGATGTGTGAAGGGGTGATAAGTATTTTTCTCCAATACATTTCCTCAGCTTCCTGTTTTAAAACTTTTATTTTGAATAGATGTTAAATGCAGTTTATTCAAAATTCAAAATGTACAAAAAGTTACACACAGAAAAGTCTTCCTCCCTTCCCATTCCCCAGCCATCCACTTCCCTTCAGTAGAAACAACTGCTATGATCTATTTCTTCAGAAATATTTTATACATAAACATTAGTTTTCACTTTGAAAGCCTTAGATTCCACCCCTGTGCCCACAGAGAATTCAACCCACTTATTTTCAGCGTTTATCTCTAGGGAATCATTCCTTCATCTAGCATTTTTCCAAAAATTCCTGCCCTCAGTTGATGGGACTGTTGAAGACAGACAACAGTTGTTCACACTCTCTTACTCAAAGGTTTCCATGCTGTCCCAGGAATGTGCACGGGAACCACCTGACAGAGGAATTACAGGACACATAGATACCCACGGCCCCAGTTCTCACCCTCTATCCTTGGCCAGACTCTCACCTAGGCTCTAAGTCATCCATCCCATTCCCAACCCCCTCAACTTCTAAACTCCATTTAGCTTTCTTCATCCCCTTGCTCTTTGCATTTAACATTTGGCAGTGTTTTCCCTGCAAAGCCCTTGTCAGCTCTCACCAATAATTCTGATTTCCCACTCAAGCTAAATTGCCTCCATTTACCCCTGATAACATGCTTAAAACATCCCCATTGCTCCACTTCCCCTGCCATCTTGCTTTACTATCTCATCTTTGTCCTGGATTATTATAAAAATCTTCTAATTAGTCACCCACCACCACCAATTTCTTCTCTTTTCAGCTAATCCTTCAGAGAGAGTGTTCTATTTCAGAATCTGATCATATTATTCTCAGTTCAAAATAGTCTGATGGATAAATTGCAAACTCCTTATCGGGGGATCTAGACCTCGATAACTTTCCCATTGCCCACCTATCTAGCCTTTTTTCCTGCAAGGCTTAGGTTTGCGTTTTTTGTTGTTGTTTTAGGGATATTGAGCTGTCGATAGTTCCATGAACATGCCGCACTTTTAACTCCTCATGTTTTTGCACATGCTGACTGTT